ATTGATTCCATCCGATAGCTGCTATAATAAAAAACAAAACGTCTGCCTGCTCTCCACAATGATCAATAACAGCGAACGGATGGTCAAAGTAAGGTACAAATAAACAGAATCACACGAAGCCTGGTTAGTGTTGCCTGACTTTATAAAGTGTTTTTTTTTTTATAAGTGTGTGGTTGCCTTCTAGTCACTTTGCCCAGCGCTACTGCTTGTAGGCAGGCATGACGAGACTCTTCAGTCGACCCATGTTCAGGGGAGGTGGGTTTAGTTTCCTGCACGCCTCGACGTAAGTGAGACGTAAGCGACGCCGCGTCATAGCTCCGAAGCTCTTGCTTCTAGACCGACAATTTTTTGGAGCTGGAAGTGAACCGCATTCCCGAGCTATGAGGCGGCGCCGCTGCGGTGTGAACAGGAAAAAGCGCCGGTGTGAAAGGGGCATCAGTGTCCTTTTTTTTAACAGAAGACCGTTGCTAGAAGCTGCAGCTAGACTGCAGAAGCATTAGTTTTTTGTTTTTGAGGATGGAACAACTTCACACACAGATATAGGGAGGCTAGACCTATACAATTAATTAATTTTGGTTTATAAATTAATGTCAAGACATTTATGTTATTGATTTCTGAAGCACTTTCTAAATAATAAAAAGAGAGTTCTTATGTATTTACTGCATGTATTCATTGATGAAAAATAAGCCATGTGCAGTAATAGAGAAAATTGAGGATGCAACGCATTGGTATGAATCGTGATGCATCGGGATATCGAATTGAATCGAATCGTTGACAGGATAATCGTAATCGAATCGAATCGTGAGACCAGTGAAGATGCACAGCCCTACCCGACAGTGAAGAATAAATATATTTATAACTAGTTTAGCTTGTTCCAGAGGTAGATAAAATAGCTAAGTGTATTAGGTCTAACGCTTCGTGTGTGTTCTGCTCCGCTCACCGGTCCGTCACAGCGGGCAGAGATGCAGGATTTCTGCTTCACACACGTTGCATACCGCTATTTTATTGTCATTTTTGGACACCTTAAAATACTGCCAGACTGGTGAAGCCATTTTGGCGAGCTTGTTTTTCCGCGCACAGAGAAAAGTGTCATGTATTTTACGTCCTAATTTTACGTCATGCGATCGGCTCTCGCGATCGGCATTTTTAGAGAGCACCGATCGATCGGCAGCCGATCGGCGATATCAATAACCAGGTATTTAGGCAAAAAATATTGTGATGTATGACACCATATCGCACAGCCCTTGTCGATAGAAGAAACATAATAACCCATTATTTGAAACATCACTTAATTGTTAAAGTTATGTTTCGTACAAGAATGATAAAAAATGATGTATCTCGAATAGGGACATTTCATGCATTTCTCAGTTTGATATCATATTGACGTAAATATATCTTTGGACTTGGACTGACCAATAAAGACAATTAAATACATCACCTTGGAATTAGAATAATTGTGATGGCCTTTTTTCAATATTTTCGGATATTTACTGATTAAAACAAATTAAACATTGTGGATCATTTTGGTGGGAAAAAGCCAACGTTAGGCTATAAACAAACTACATCATGTCACCACCGCTAAGCTAAAGGTAGCTAATGTTTGGTAGTCTCATTTAGTCACTTGTTAGCAACCGCTGTTTTTATATTGAGTAAAAGCTTCAGACATTTACGAGTGGGGTATTAACTGACGTATTTAATGTTGTTGAACAAAATTTGAAAATGCTGACTCATTTGTGTTTAGGACACTTTCCTGTACCACTATATAGATTAAAGGCACCATGAGACTACATCATCCACCCTTGAACACCAGTCCTTACAGTTTATGAACCTTCCTACAGTTGTGGGGGGTGTTCTTTCACAGCTCCACTCCTTCACCACACAAGTTGCTTCCATGGGGGAGGCCACAATGGACAGCCAGTGTTGTGTTTTTAACTTGGGTTAATTTTAGACGTCTCCCTGGAGTGAGATTAGGTCTCATTCTGGGCTGCTCTGACCTCACAGAGTTAGGAGCTAAGAGGGATTTGGCTGCCGCTGCTCAGACGGTTTATCTTGCCTGTTGATGTCGACGGTCTGTGTGAGAAAGGGAGAGCACAATGGGAGAGCTGTAGAAAATTGGATACCAGCGGAGTGAATGAGTGCCGCTTTGCACTGAGCCTCTGCCAGCTATCGTATAGAGTGACATTTATGGCGTAGGATATTATTTCTCCTAAGAGAACTTCAGTGGACTTCATATAATGATAGTTAGTGCTGGTCAGCAGAGCATGGGAGGACGGGTTGGTTCAATTGATCTAGAGATGGACTTGGTTGAAAGCGATGATGTTCAGGTAAGGCAAAAGATGAGCTAATACTTTGTTCTTTCCCGTTTTCATCGTCTCTGCAGGGAGTTGTACTTTTAACAGTAGCCCGATAAATTGAAGGTAATTGCATTGAGCCTTAATGTTATTGCGTGTTAGGTTTGACTGCTTTCTTTAATAAGGAATGCAACTTATTGTGGTAGCCACATTTTTCAGGATTTGTTCTCTTGTTTTATTAATGGTGTAGGTTATTGTACTACACACTTAAACTGCAGGGCGGCTTTAGAGGCTTGCAACAAGTTCACCTTCATATTTTGTGTGTTGAGCTGGTAATGTTATCTGGAGTAACATTTGATTTGAGTGATAGCACTTTACACTGGAGACTTTTCCATAAGGTCATACTAATAGATATTAAATAACAACGCATATTCAAATCTGATTGAGCAATTATCCTTTCTATTTTTCTTTGTTATAGCCTGTTGGAGCTATGATGATTGATAGGTTGAATTGTTGTGGTTGTATAGTTTGTAATTTAACGTAATAGGAAGTAGATTGATGAGCTGTGTAATGACCTGGAATAAAGTGATTAACCACGGTCCGCTCAGATAATCCCTGATGTGTTCTATGATCAACAAGTTGAACGTAACTAGCGCACCACTGTATTCACCATGGACTCTAAAGCTGAAGCTATTCAGGAAATGACTGCTAATCCCTATTTGGTTAAGGTGAATGGTTTAAAGATGCAAGTAAATGTTGACTGACGGCAGCAGTGAAAATACTGCGATACAGGTTAACTGAAGTTCAAAACACACCACGACGCCGGGCTTACCTTTACAATACTCCGGCTGATAGTGTTGTGTCTCTACAGCTCTGAGTTGGTCAGAAGATAAAAGCCTCATCCCAATACCCCTCCTTGACTCCTCTCTTCCCCTCCTCCGGGACTTGACCCGGAAATCGATCAAGACACGCCATGTTGAAGGACGTCCCAATAGCTGAAATGCACACGGAGGAGTCGAGGAGGGGTGAGGGAGGAGACGAAAGGGAGGAGACGAAAGGGAGGATACACGAGAGCAGACTACGCGGAAGTGTTTTCACTACTCGCGTATAAAAGCCCCGCCCCCACCTTCACAGCTGGTCGATTTCAAGAGAGGAAAACGGAGAACTGGAAGAATGAGTGGAAAAGCGTCACATAAATGTCTAAGTGCTCACAGCTCCGTGGGAATTATTATGTGCAATTCATTTCTTAAGGTTATAGGCCTACTAACAATTTAAGTCATGTTCAATGATCTTGAACGTCACTAAAACATAGCTATTAAGAAAGCTATTTCATGAATGGCTAGATCTTGATAAATAAAAATAATTTGTATTGTTTTGTGTTAAGATATTCAGGAGTTACATTATTTAAAATGCACAGTCCTGAATGTGTGTTTGTGGTAAATGTGGGGATCTACAGGACACACATTTTCAGAGTAAAGGCTTTCACATTACTATAATTATATTTGTATTTAAATGTAGGCTACATTTTACACCAAAACGGAACACAAAAGCAGGACCAACCATCATACATTGAATTCCTTGACTAACAACAGAAAGATTCATCATTTAAATAAATATTTAACAACAAATGGGCCGGTTCTAAAGGTTATTCAGTTAAGCCCGATGAGAGGGGATACAGCTGTGCACATGTCATCATTAACAGACGTCGTTTAAAAGTGACGTTTGAGTGAACGAGGACATCCCAATTAATACCTGAGGACTCCTCTGTCCTCGCGTCTCCTCCTCGCATCTTACGGAGGCGGAGCTAAGACGCAAGGAAGGGACGCGAGTGAGGGAAAGGAGGAGTCGAGGAGGGGCATTAAGATGAGGCTAAAGAGTGGTGCACTGGTGACCTAATGTTCTTGGCCAACCCAGAAGTTATGATCACCAGGGTGCCCTCAACAAAAAGCAATGGGATTTTACCATTTGATTTTGGAAAATGTCAGTAAAATAAGCTCTGTTGCCAACACATACGTTTATGGAACTTCTTTTGTTCAGCGGGATCATTTCCACATATTAACACCACTCTTGTAATTCTTGAAGCGTAAATGCAATCTCCAGAAGTAGAAAGCTGATGCTACTTCATGATCACATGTCTTCAACAAGGCTGCAAAAAAAGGCAATCTTTTGAGAACTGTAACTACTAGCGTAAGCTTATATAGAAAAAGCGTAAAACATTTTTCCCACATTCTCCCTTGTCTTTATTGTAGAAAGCAACATTATATTAAGAACATTTTCCTTTTGTTTTTTTTAACTCTGGCCATTTGTAAAAGTTGTAAATGGAATCTAATTCTTGCTCACGCCAAGGATCAGATCACACATGCTTAAAAATGTTTTTGATTAGTATGATAAACTCAGTGACTACTGGAAAATAACTTTGTCTAGACCTCCCCCAGCTTTTATCGCTTTCTTACTGTTGTCATGACAAAACGGAAATGCATTAGTTTTTTAGGGCAATAGCTTCAGCTGTTTGGAGACATTGTAAGAGGGTGCCGCTTTGTCTTTAGTGTTGAAAGTCCATTTTTCTAATACTAGTCTACTTTTTGACTTTGACTGACCGTTGTATGTCCTCTTCTCCTTTTCCTCCTTTCTCCCGTTTACCCGTTCCTTTTCCTGCTGACCTCTAAATTACTTACTAAATCTCCTCTTCTTCTCTTTCTCCACCTTCAGGGGGATTCCAGGGGCCAGCTGGTGGCGGAGCGTCTAGGTCTGGGACACAACCTGGACCTGTCCGACACCATGGTTCAGCAGAAGCTGGACGAGATAAAGGAGCAGATTCGCCGCGAGATCCGCAAAGAGCTGAAGATCAAAGAAGGAGCCGAGAACCTGCGCAAGGTAACCTCTCTGAATATGGAACAACTTCTGAATACAGTGTAGCAGCATCTTGTTTTCTTTACTTTAAATATTATTTTGCAGTTTTAAAGTAAAGAAAAAGCCTTCTACTTTCAAGAGTGCATGTTACTGTTATTGAAACACAAACGGTCATTCAAAACACCAACTGGTTCATTAGCTAAACACCAGTTTTGTTCATAATAAAAATAGATGATTTCAAATGAGTGACGTGTCTCTTTGGGAATCTTTGCTGTAGATAAATTGTCCGATTTTCTCAAGCCTCCTGCTCTCTCCTCTCCTCAGGTCACCACAGACAAGAAGAGCCTGGCTTATGTCGACAACATGCTGAAGAAATCCAACAAGAAGGTAGAGGAGCTTCACCAGGAGCTGCAGGAGCTCAACGCCCACATCGTGGTCAAAGACCCCGAGGAACTGCTAGGTAACAGCAACAATGCAAAGAAGCGGATCCACAGAGGATTTAGTAAACATTAACCAGGAAGTAAAGGCCAATGCTCTACTATACTCGGCCTTCCTACAAATAAAGCATTGTTTTACAGAGCTGCAGCAATTACACAACTAATCATTTAGTTGATCAAAGGAAAATATCAAATGTTTTGATATTTTCCTTTGATCAACTAAATTATTAGACTAATTGTTTTGATAATCGCTTAATCTTCAAAGAATACATTTATTCAGGGACCTAGTAATTTTCCTTCAAAAAACAACATAACATTGTCAGTCTCTCAGACGTCCTGCTTTTCTCTAAGTTTTATATCAATCTGGATTTTTTGGGGGGGTTTTGGAATGACAAAACATTACATTCAAACATATGACCTTGGACTCTATGAAACTTTGATGTACACTTTCGAATTTCTTTCTTAAATATTTTGGGTCTGTTCGTTTGTCCAATCTCACACTCTACAATGACAGCGCTGTTTTTTAAAGAAACACAGCGTTCAATTTCTACATGAATTTACGAGTGTAAATACATGAAAGAAAAACGTAACTATAGATATTTATAATACAAACATGCGGTGCCACTTACTTATTAGTGTGAATGACTATGTTAGAGTTGATTATAATGAGACATGATTAACTGCAACAATAAGATGTTATAATTAAGCAATAGCTCACGACAGGCCGTGGTATATGGCCATTATATCACAGTTAAGGGGCGTGGTTCGGCCCGACGCGAAGCGGAGGGTCGACAACCCCCTTAGCTGTGATATAATGAGCATATATCACGGCCTGAAGTGAGCTATTGCTTTTATAAAACGGTTACCAAGTGTGGCAATATGAATGAAAAATACACACTCTAATTTAAATAGTTGTTATTATTAAATAATGATGTTCAAAATGAAATAGTCCCTCCGTTGCCTTCTGCACAAAACATAGTGCGAGGTGGTTGCTATGCAACAACACTAACAACAGCTAGCGAACATATTAGACAGAGAGCGTTGATCCATTATTTGGCTATTTATTTACATTAATTTGTATGTTGCCGTTTATTGTGCACCCACTGAAAAACTGTCCAGCATCAGTAGCATGGCTTACGTGGTTACTTGTATGGAGATAGGCACTGCTCAATCCACTCCTCCATAGTAAGACCCCCCCCCCCCCCCCGGAGGTCGAAGTTAATCTTAAATGTTTTTGCGGACCTTTTTGATTACAGATTTGAAAACATCGTTGCTTGCTTTAAAAGTAGCACAATTAATTATGTCAAACCTTGGAAAGTATCTAAATATCCCTGCCCTAATGCCAAAGGAACTGCACACTGAATATGTTTTGCAGTTTGATGTCTATGTCTGGACCGCTGTGTAAAAAGGAGGGTTTCTGCCCCGTTACTTCTCCGCTGTTTTCTTGTCCCAGTTTGAAAAGCAAACTGCAGGCAGTTTGCTTTTCAGCGCAACTGTATACAGTTTTTCTCAGACGCGGAGGGATACTGACTTGTTGTAAAAAGTAACTACAATTCTACCCGTGGTATACGCTCAGTATACCACGGCTAAGAACCAATCAGATTGCTTGATTTGACTTGTCCGTTTTATAATAAGTAGTCTAAAGCTATCGTTAAGATTTAGAGATATTGTAAGCTATAGCTCAGAGTGACTATTTATGAACACAGCCTTCATTTACCAAACAATTACAGTATAAGATGAATCTAGGAAATAATTGTCAGATCATAAGATTTAAAAAACAGTAGTTAGTTGCAGTTCTAGTTGTGCGGTTTTACATAAACTCCATATTCCTTGTATTTAAGCATTTAATTTCGGGGTAGGGTATATAGAGAACCGCAGTGACGCGTCCTAAAACCCGGAAGTAAACTTCTTCCGGTTCCTTCGACAAAAATGCAATGCAATTTCTCCATAGGATTTTGGAAAACATGTCTACCCTACTTTTATAATTTTCTAATCATAAATCTGATCGATAGATTTATGATTAGAAAATTATAAAAGTAGGGTAGACATGTGGAGATTATCCGGCTAAACAAAACGTGATCAGTCTCTTAAATGTGTGTCAACCACAGACCTTATTTCGAGCTATTTTCCAAAATCCTATGGAGAAATTGCATTGCATTTTTGTCGAAGGAACCGGAAGAAGTTTACTTCCGGGTTTTAGCACTGCGGTTCTCTATAATGGTCAGATGTAAGCTAATTTACTTGTTTCTTTTCTTACTTCCTTTTTTTTGATATTTTTGTTTTTTGTTGATATTTTCAAGCAAAAGGTTTGGGTTAATGTCATTGTTATTCCAGTTGTCCTTGGTTAGAGGGTTTTTACATCATAATTTATTTGCGATACTTTTGTAAAGAGATTAATTGTGACTCGTATATTTATCTGCCCAGGTGTAATGTCACAAAGTAGCAACCTCTCTTCCAAATATTATCATCATCTCTTTATCACACCCCCAAATATACTGGTACTCACAAATGCAGAACATCACTTTTGCCAGTGCTGTGTGGTGTCAACATGTATATGAACACACTGAGTGTTTGGAGGTGACTCACTCTCCAGAGGCTGACATTGTTGCATTCCACATTCCACCGACGGTTCCAATGAGCCGCCGATTGTTCCCCTCCGAGGCCGTTGAAAGCCTGCTCCTGTGCGTTTGTCCTCAACAATGGAATTTGGAGAGAGTTACCCACGGCATAATGTCGTTTTGTTACAGTAGTTGCCTTATGTGGCATTTGTTGGTGGTGAATTCAGGAAGAGAAGGAATGGTATTTGTCTCCCTGTTACCATCACATCCCCCCGGTTCAGTTGACATTAGGAAGTATGAGATGGGGGAGGGATGGGAGGTCATCTTGGTAAATGGTTATCTTAATTGGGAACAAATTTTGCCTGACTCTCAATCAGATGAACGAGGGCTTTCTTTTAAGTGACGCGACGCCAGAAGAATGTCGCTGGCTATCGCAAAATGATGGAGAGGGGCTGAGGGCAGCCCAGTGCTACGGTCACAAGACAACTTTTAGACAGCATTTAGCTCTCCAATCCCCAAGAGACGGCACTTGTTTCCTGAATTAGTAAGAAGTTGCTCTGCGAGAAGCCAGAATGTGTTTTTGTTCCAGGAGAGAAGTCGAGAGGGGCTCTGGTTATTCTCTGCAGCTCTGCTCAGGCCAGAAATGGGCCGAGTCGCTCTCAGGTGCTGTCGCTCTGTCGCTGAGCCACCAGTCAGGTCCCTCTTTCACATGTCATCCATTCATAAAGAGACAAGCCCCAAATAAAGTTTACTCTCTGAATCATATCCCTCATCATATCATGTGTCAAGTAGGAAAGCACTAATGTTCCAGGTTCTGCTTTTGTTGTTATTGTTAAGAGAGCATTGTTAGTAGGTGTGTGAATCACGGTGTCCTTGTTTGATTTGATTGCGATTCTTTACTATTACTATTTGGTTCAAAACTGCTTCCTGATTCAAAACTATTCCCAATTCAAAATGAATTCTGGATTCATTACAATAGGGGTGCTAATTTCACGATCTGCTTCAGTCAGCTGTGCACTAATAATCGCAGTGTGACACATTATAGGTGTACTAAAACGGGTTTTGAAAAAGTGATATCAACTGATGGCAATGATGCAAATCTAAGACAAAAGGTAACATTTATTCATTAATAAAAGTTTTTAGTATTTATTAATTCCAAGTGGCTTCAAGATTGACAAGTTGCATTACATGCTAGACCGCGCTAGACATGCCTACGAGAGCAATTTTGGGGTCAAGTATCTTGCTCTAGAAAAACTTCAAGATGACTGCAAAGATAGATTGTACTTAAAATAGAAGACTGTAATGGTGATCAAGGGCCTGTGTCCACATGACACATGATTCCATCAGTAGCAACCTCTAGACCAGTGGTTCCCAAACTTTTTGTGCCCAAGGCACACCAAAGGACAAGTAAAAATCTCAAGGCACACCTATTGTGCGAAATAGCCCTTATAACACGTGTTATCACTCGTATCATGTAAAATATCTGTAAATGTGCATAATTATTTACTAATGCCAAATAAAAGGTGACGAAGACAACTATATTACTCATGAAATATTTATTAACGAAATATTTCAGAAATTAATTTGAAACTTTATCAAATTAGGCTTCATCAAAGCACAGGGATGAAACGTATACCAATATAATCTGTGGACTCTCAGGGCTCGACATTATAAATGGCCCGCTGGCCCAGAAGCATTATTTAGACACCGCGGCCAGCATAACGTACTTTCAACTCGCCCCGTGAGCGGGAGCGTACTCCTTCACTACAGACTGTCTCTATCTATCTCTCTCTATCTATAACTATCTATCAATATATCTATCCATCTATCTCTCTCTCTCAATCTATCTCTCAATCTATAAGGAACCGCAGTAGACAAAAGGCGTTGCTATAGCAACACGTCATGTTTATATGAAAAGGGGTGGGGTCAATATGACCCGCTGGGCAGAAATAGGTATAAATGGCAATTTTTTGGGCGATTTCTTCAATCTGACTTCATATTGACAATTTTTAACAACATAGGGTGCTACATAACAAACTTTCAGGAAAAGTCACGGACTGGAAGACTTTAATATTTTATTGAAAAAAGTTACACAGTTCTAGTGTTGTCCTTCAGCCTTCAATGGGTCACGGTCTTATAATTCCCACCTGCAACTGCGTTAACAGCGAAATATGGGGTTCTGTGAGGATTTTTTTTTTTAAAGAATTGTTTTTAGGTATAGAGTTTGCCTCTGTATTATGAAATGAGTGCATACAAAGTACTGATATAGTAAATTAAAAAATAATTATTTTTGTGTAGTTGTATATTGCAATAATAACGTATGGTTGTCACAAAATCCCACGGCACACCCGGACTTGCAATAAAACAAAACTACAAAATATACAAGAATAGAAAGAAAAATAAAATAAAATAAAATATACATGTCGAAATAGAAAATATACATGCAGATATTATATATAGATATATATATCATTATATAATATATATAGATATATTATATATATATATTATATATATATTATAATTCATATATAATGATATATAGATATATATATATATATACTATATATAGTAAATATATAGATTATATAATTTTCTATTTCGACATGTATATTTTATATTTATATTTTATATTTTTTATATTTTATTTTATTTTTATTTTATATATATATATATATATATATATATATATATATGGAGTATAAATATTGAACAGATGAGAACCTCCCTTGAATCGATTCCTCCCCCACCCTGAACTGTAAGCATGTTTCTGGTTGTGATCAGAGCCAGATGGGTTAATCTGAGGGAGGGTTCCCCTTGTCAGCGCTCCAGCAGTGACATCAGCCTCGCTGCTATTCAGTAGCTTGGTGTCTTGTCCTGCAGCCAAGCGTGGGCCGAACCAAGCTGAGGAAGAGGGGGAGGAGTAGGGGCCGGGGTCCTTGAATTCTTGGCTCGATGTGACCTTGACCAAACCGCACCCCCCACGCAGAGAGGAAAGCCCTGAACGAAGACTGCATGACACGCAGAACTCTCACACGTGTGTTTCTCTGTGTCTTTTGCACAAGCAACTCCCTCACAATACTGCCTTGGTGTACAAACTCTTATTATGCAATTTGATGGAAGATCTGTTTTGCCCCAGGCCCCTTAGAAACTCCCACGTTGCTCCACAGGCTTCTCTACACATTTGTGGTTTGGATGGGACTCTACATGGGCTCTCTCGCTCTCTGTGTGTATGGTGTGTGGACGATTGCAGGCTAAAATCCCACCCTCCTCCCGCACAGAAACCTCAGAGGTGATGCTCCCTCAGCTTATTTAGGGTGATAAGATGAATCATGTAGACTTTCAGTTTAAAGAGTCACATGCTTCCTTTTTTTATCCCTCAGGTGTTCAAAGGACTTTTAGACACTGTTTTGTATCACTGCTGGTAGTTGTTATCTGTGTTTGGCAGCACCTTCCGGTATGAAGGATTTCCCTCACTGCTGTTACTTGAGGTAATCAGGCTCACCTTGATGAACTCCTTTTTGTTTTTGTCATGTGACCGTCACGTAACTTTAAAAATCTTAAAGACCACAAATGAGTCAAAGCTCCTTCCAGTTTTATACGCACTGGGCTATTATTTTAGCAGACATTGTTTGTTTTTCAGATGTGGCAACTCTTTGTACACTTGGCCCTTTCCATAGAAGTACTTTATGGCTGCGTTTCACTTCAGTTAAATGGAATCCTTGCGTCCCTCACTTGCGTCGTATCCCTGCGTTTAGTCCCTCCCACCAGGGAAGCATGGAGAGACGCAAGGAAACCACGAGAAGCAGGGAAATGAGTTTTAAGAGCAATGGGACGTCGTTTCCTCCAGAGCGTCACGTGAAGCGACGTCCGTTTGTGATGACGCCGCACAGCTGATCGTCTGACAGCAGCCAGATCAGTGCATGCGCTGCATCGTCCAATCGGTGAGCGATACACAGTAAGGGGGCGGGGCGAGTGTATGAGGATTTCACCGGAGGATGGTCTGGTAGTTCCTCGATTATCGCTCCTCCGTTATCGCTCCTCGATCCTCGGTCCTCCGGCACAAATAAGGCCACTGGGACGCTACTCAAGATGGCGCAGACAAATCAACTTCCGGTGATACCGAGACAGAGGAGCGAGGAAATTAAAAATATGAGAAGTGAAACGCACCCTATGACACCGTGAAACTGAACTTGCAAGTCAAGTCAGGAGAAGTCAGGCCGGTTTTTTTGCCCCCCTCACTTGAGTGTGAGAATGTGTTGCTCCGCGCTGCAGGGATCCGCCTGGGGAGGGGATTTCTCTGCACATTTTCGAGTCCAGACACGACCAAAAAAACACTAAACAGTGAGCTCATCGGCCAGAAGTGTGGTCCGGCTCCCTGGATAGATAGAGGACACTTGGTTTCACTTTGTGTATCTGCATGCTGTTTGAGAGAAGAAACTCAAAAGCTTGAATAGATATTGACCCAGTAGCAGTGTGTTGTCTCAGCTATTTTTAGGGTCTGGATAAAAAGCCATGTAAAAATCTAATGTTTATAAGTGTTTACCCCAAATATGCAGTTATGTCACTGCAGTATTGGTAGTTGTCTGCAAGTTCACACTTGCTTTTCTATTATCTTAGTTTTTTACAGTTGCTCAAGAAAAGAGAATGCCGCAGGGTTTCCCTCTGCGGTTAAAGTTAAAACAGACTGCAGGAGAGAGCCAATAACATGACAGAACATTAATTTGAATCGGCAGAGATTGCCTTTGTGTTTTATATCAAAGCCGAATATTAATGTGCTCTGTCTTCACCTTGGATTTGTTGTAATCATGTTCTTTTAAAAGACACGTCAGGTCCAATTCTGACTCTTGCCATTTATTGATCCAAAGCTCTGCTTTATGTTGGACTCCTGATGCAAAGCTTAGTCTGTTTAGTGTCAAGAGTGAGTCAATTGGAGTCTAGTGTTAACACACCTCATCAAATGATAAACAGCAGACCTTTCAGGATCAATTATTTGACTCCTAAAGTTTCTATTTGACGTGTTTTTGTAAACAAAGTCGATGATGCAGGGCTGTTTGGGTAACTTCAAAATGTCTGGCAGCCAAAAATAGCACATGAATACTGAGTAACTATTTACAGTCTGTGTTTATTTGTGACAAACTCCAGTAGCACATACAGAGATGGTTGTTTTCAAAAGGCCATAAGGTTATAACTTTTGTTTTTTCTGTGTTTACCCAGATTGCCCTCTGACCCCAGATACCCCTAACAGCGAGGCGAGGATGTGCAGCAGCAGCCGCCTGGCCGCCCTGAAAAGACAGAATGACATTGAGCTCAAGGTCAAACAGGGAGCTGAGAACATGATCCATATGTACTCCAACGGGCCCTCTAAGGTAAGAGTCATGCGGAGCGGGGGGAGGGTTCACCTGACATTCAGGTTCCAGCTGGTTCATGTCAGGCTGCCAAAAGCACACGCATCAGTTGAACTGTATGTTTTACATCATTTTCTGCCACTCTTAATTACACGACAACAAAAGACAGAATTTGGTGGTTTTGCGAAGTAGCATGGAATCGTAGGATGTTGTGATTTCAGGTATCTTCCCAAGCTTAAGACTCATCGGGGCTTCGTTTATGAGGTTTCCAGCTCGGTAGAAATCTTTGCTCAGCTTATTTCCTTTGACCTAAAACCACTAAGGAGTCAAAGCCATCAGGATGTAATGTATAGTTACAAAATGACCAAGATCAAAAAAAATGATGGTAAAAATATATGTGAAGTAAAAAAAAAATCCAAACCATCAAATCTGTTTCCTCAAACACCATAGTTAATGAATAGGTACAGATTATTAATCAACTGTGTGTGGGAGAGAAACTACAAAAAGTCCATGAAATATAATATTCACAAGTTTGGACGTGAATCTGTCACTTCCTGGTGTGTAAAGTCCTTAAATGCTTGTGTTTCTTGTCCTTTTCGACATCATTGAAGCGACTATGGTCCCGGATCTCAGCGTTAACTTACAATGTTATCCCAACCGAAACTAAGAAAATAAGACTAAAGTGATAATATACTATAATAATATTCTAAATGAGCTCTTGGCAGTTCAAGAGGAGAAGCCAAACCCATCATAACACTTGATAGCACCATAAGCCTTGATTTTAGTCACCGTCATCAGGCTGCAGAGTGTTTTCACATTCATAATCACCTATGCTGAATATTTATTTCAGTCTTTTTTAAATGTGCACCTTGGTCATTATCACATAAAAAAACTGTAGTCTGCAGGTGGCAGAACGATGCATGTGGGGTTTGCTTTTACAGCTTCTCTGTAGGGGAGCAGGAAACGTGAGAAGGCGCTGACACACACTGTGTGTCATATGCACCGCTGTTTGTTCACAAAGCTCTCTGTGGCTACTCTAATGCCCAGTGAGGAAAACTACCCTTTAGTTGGGAAGTGTGTGTGTGTGTGTGTGTGTGTGTGTGTTACGAGAACTGATAACAACAGCTGGAGCACTGGGAGCCGCTCCTCTTGGCTCCTGGTCCAGCTGTAGTAATTGAAGCCACTCTGTAGTAGACTCTTTAGCATAGTGTCAGGTTTCAGCAGGGAGTCTGGACTCTGCCAGTGATGTAATCCTGCTCGGCATCGTTTGTTTCTGGGACTGTCGGGGGTTATTTAATGGAACATGGATTGACAAGATTTCTTTGCTTGAGAATCCTTAAAATGAATACTTTGACAGTTTAGAAGATGGGCTTGTTTTCTTTCTTTGAGTGAGATGAGAAGATTGATACCACTCGTACAGGTTATGTGAAGCTAAAACTAGCAGCTGTTTGGCTTAGCGTAGCATAAAGATAGAAACAGACGGGTAAACCATGTTTTTGAAATGTGTTGAAAGATGGTCACCATTAATACAGATAACACCAGAACTCCAGTCACATCTTTATTTCCTTTTCTGATATTTATTTTATTTATTTAACTTTATATTGTCATTGTTGTTGTTTTTTATGTTGTATTTTTATTACAATTCTTTTTTTTTAATACACTGTTGTTTATTTGGTTAATATGTACCGTTATGTACAGTTGATGTATAATCAATGAATAGATGTTAAAAGATTTGTAGCACTTGAGTGAACGTATCCAAGGTAAATTCTCTAAGTATCTCCTACTGTCATTTGTATTATGTCTTTAAAAGACTAAAATAAGTTTTTAAAAAAACTGAGAAACAACTTGCATGGCTCCGTCCAAATGTAACAAAATCTGCATCATGCTCTCAAAAATGGCATAAAGGAAATTCGTGCTAATATTTTACGCCATCAAAATAATGAGAACACTTTTGCAAAGATTTCTTGATCAATACAACATTTAGAGAACTATGGGACGTCTAACTGAATGTCATTTATTTAGAATTTAACCAGACATGACTCGTTGAACTTTACTCAATAACACAAAGTTCATTGACCTACTGTTCAAGTGAGTACAGTGTCGAAAAGAGAGAGCCCTATTGAGTAGTAAACAGTAAACGGGTCTGTAAAATGCTACATGATCCCCTCTGTCTGACCGGGGGGGGGGGGGGGTCTCTTTCAAAACACTGACCTCTCCCGGTCACATAGACAGTCTGACAGTTGGAAATAGTCCTGTTGTGATGTCAGAGAGGAAATGCCTGCTGGACAGAGGTGTTTCCTGCGAGCGGCGCCATCAACAACCAGGATTTAAACTTCAGTGGAACTCTGGGTGGAGTTTGCTTACTCCACTCTGTGTTTGCATGTGTTTGTGTGAGCGTGTGTGTATTGGCACATGTGAGAGGGTCAGCAATTATGATACACAATGAGATCCCGCTTTCTTTTTTGATGAATAAGATTTTCCATGTGGTCACCCGTTCTTTGGCTCCAATTAAGGGCATGAAACAGCCTCCTGGGCTGTTTGTGCTCACAGCAAAACACCAGTGATGATGGATGATGTAGAAGTTGGTAACTACTTTTGTTGGTTACATTGTCCCAGTAAAAACATTTTTATTGTCATGTTAAAATCAAATTATCTCACTGATTTGATAATATGATAGCATAATAATACACCCATTCAAAGGGCAATCCCTGTCTAACTTCTAACCTAAATCAGCCATTGGAATCTGGATGGGAGTCATATCTTTAGTAAAACACAACCGAATAAATAAAATGGACTTTTAGGCTCCCTTTAAAAAAAAAAAGACAGTACATTGCTAATCCAGTTTCTTGTTTACAAAAAGTGCAAATTAGCAACATATTAGCTATGCGATAGTAACAAACAACACTGAGCTCTCGTTAACCTAAAATGTTACTACACCAGAGCTGTGGATAATAATGTTAACATAACATATCATACGATAAGTTGACAACTTATATTTATCGAGGCCTTGTCCTTAAACCAGGGGTATTCAACTCAAATTCAACGAGGTCCAGTTAGAGAAAATCTCCCCATGCAAAGGTCCGGAACATCAACATGTCTAACTTGCTTTATGAATTAGTGTGATATATATTGAAGTAGCCTGTAGCTTTATCAACATCTGCATTTAATCAACAACTGACTGCCAATCAAATAAAGAAAGTACAATTCATAAACAACAATATTTATTGTCAATTATTGAACTATACTGATATAGAGTAAAATACTGTGGATATGTGTGTGTAATGTTCCTCTCGGGCTGCATTTAAAAATAAAATAGAGAAAATAAATAAAATAGCTTTTGAAAATGTGTGCATCTTAAAGGTAGGGTAGGTAAGTTTGAGAAAACGGCTCGAGATCGCTAGAATTTGAAAATACACAACCGGAAAAAATCTGCCACTTCCTTACAGAGCCCCTCCTCCAACACACACGAACGCGCACATGACCAATGAGGGCACGAGATAAGTTTGTGCACAGATGGAAGGCTGACAGGCAGGTAGGCCATCCAGTTATTTTAGCCGGCCCGGCTCAGATGATTGGTCGTGCTTTTTACAGTATTACGGCTTCCACAGATGACATTTTTTTATGGATTTTTTTGTCAAAGCATTTAAGATATTCATTGCTATCGGGATGTTAAGAGCATTCCATGGAATATAACAAAAAGTGTTTCTGAAATAAATTACATACCCCACCTTTAACAGTTTCAGCCGATTATAGAACAATATCAGTCTTTACACATCATAACAATTGAACAGTCTTAAAGTTTCTCTTTCTTTCCCTCTTATATTGCAGTCCTTCACTCACTTTCTTTTGTTCAGTGCGAGAATTGAGCTGGAGCTTGTCCTGCCAGGAGTTTAAATCTGGGCTGAAATGGTGTCAGGGCCATTCTCATACACACATGCAGGTGCTCATTGGTTAGCCTGGAACCATATTAAGTTTTAATAATAACTGTTTGGAGCCAGAAAGTGGCAGGGTCAGTTCTTCCAAATTGCTCTTTCAGGGCCACGTCTGCTTGGAGATCAACCAGTTGCATCTGGAGAGGCCCAGCATTTGCCCACTTGAAGTGCTGTGTCTCCGCTTCTCTCACTGTATCGCTAACTACTCTCTTCTCTTTACTCGTGTTCCTCTCCGCTTCTCTCACTGTCTCCCACTCTCTCGTCTCTTCTTCTGTGTTTCTCTCCCTGTATCGCTCTCTCGTCTCTTCTTCTGTGTTTCTCTCCCTGTATCGCTCTCTCGTCTCTTCTTCTGTGTTTCTCTCCCTGTATCGCTCTCTCGTCTCTTCTTCTGTGTTTCTCTCCCTGTATCGCTCACTCGTCTCTTCTTCTGTGTTTCTCTCCCTGTATCGCTCACTCGTCTCTTCTTCTGTGTTTCTCTCCCTGTATCGCTCACTCGTCTCTTCTTCTGTGTTTCTCTCCCTGTATCGCTCTCTCGTCTCTTCTTCTGTGTTTCTCTCCCTGTATCGCTCTCTCGTCTCTTCTTCTGTGTTTCTCTCCCTGTATCGCTCTCTCGTCTCTTCTTCTGTGTTTCTCTCCCTGTATCGCTCACTCGTCTCTTCTTCTGTGTTTCTCTCCCTGTATCGCTCACTCGTCTCTTTCGCCCCCTGTCGGCAGCGGTTAAAATAGAATCGCCCCGTCAAAATTGAAATCCCCTATTCATGTATTGATTAACGGTCCAGGTCCGTATAGGTCGGTGTCTGGGTCCGGACCCGGACCGCCTGTTACTGAACTATGCCGTATACCGTCCAATAAGTAGATAGCGTTAAGGTGAGGTTTGGAAATGTAAAAGTGAACAGGGTCATTTCTAAATATCTTCCAAAGAAGATGATAACTGAAAATGAACACGGTCATGTTCATATTTAAATTATAGATTATAACAAAACAATTATGCAAGTCATATCCATATATCGCACAAGAATCCAATAATCTAAAAATGATAGAGGTCATGTCCACATATCGTAAAAAGGTCAGGTCAACTCACCATAAGATTAAGCTGATAATGTAAAACATTAAGGGGGCACGGTTAGTAAATCTTACGATAAGTTGATAACATAATTCCTGTGACAGGCCTAATTTAAACATTAATGTGTACTAATGTTTGTCTATAAATCACCATTTTTTTTTTTACAACAACAGACAGTGATGTTTCATTTTCTAATTTGTTCGAAGGACCGTAAGTTGCTAGCGATGGCGCAGCAGATGCTTCAGGACAGCAAGACGAAGATCGAGTTCATCAGGATGCAGATCCTCAAGTCCAGCCAGGCCAGCGAGATGAGCTTCGAGAACAACGATGTGATGGGTGAGCCTTCAGTTGTACTCTGTGTTACATTTTTAAACTTTTAATGCGAAAAACCCCAAAGTCCTATGAACAATTCCGTCTAACAGAATCCTGTCATTTATTTTCTGTTCCAGACAAGCCCATCATCAGCCCGCTGGACCTCCGGGTGGAGGAGCTGTGTCACCACGCCAAGATCGAGTCGGCTGTAGCAGAGGGGGCCAAGAACGTCATGAAACTGCTGGGCACAGGGAAAGTCACAGAAAAGAGAGCGCATTCAGAGGTAGCTGTTTGTGTTTGCATGTGTTTGCATGTGTGTGAGTCTATTTGCATGCCAAATTCACTGCTTCTGGAACATTGTGTTGATGTAAAACGAGCAGAAAGAAGATTTTCATCACTTTGTGCAGTTTCATTGGCTTTAAATAAAACAATTTCCTGCACTGCTGCTGTGCTCTATTAAAGTAAAATGGACCGTGTAATTGATGTTTCTGTCTCTCTTTATCCTTTTATACTTATTTCCTTCATTTACTTCCGTCTCCTCTTCAGGCCCAGGCTCGTTTTAATGAGTCCAGTCAAAAGCTGGACCTCCTGCGATACTCCTTGGAGCAACGCCTCATGGAGCTGCCTAAAAACCACCCTCGCAGCAGCAGCATCATGGAGGAGCTGTCCCTGCTGTCCTCTCCTGTCCTCAGTCCCAGATCCAGCATCATCTCCACACAGAACCAGTACAGCACTGTGACCAAGCCCGCAGCACTCACAGGTACAACACACCCGGTGATGATTAATAACAGCATGTGATTATGTGAGTTAGTGTCCCATCATCACCCTGTTCTTCTAAAAAATGTAAACTGACAGCTTTTCACATTTTCTCCACCTAGTGGTTCCTATGGTATTATTGTTGGTTGTTTGATCGATCTACTTATCTGGACTGAGTAAAACACCCATATTAATAAATGGGCATCTTTTGCTACTTACTGATCTAGCTTAATAGAAAGGACTTGTAGTAAGCACAGTGATGCAGTGCTACGCCTTTTGTCTGGGACGTTTATATAGTCATCAAAATAGGGTTCCGTCATTCACTGAGAAACCATCAAGCGTTTTGATGGATCCGGTAAAGTTGGTTGGACAAAGTCAGATAAGACTTAAGTTCATCTCTGATGTCGTAAGCTTTTTTACGCAAATCGTATGTGCTATTTATTCTGATACAAGGCCTGGATACTACGTTGGGTTAACATTTCTTAATCTCCATGTTCACGTAGATTTACCTAGACCCAGATATTATTACAAAGTGACATTTTCCTAGTTAAGATTAACACGGATGTTTCTCATTAATGCCTTTTTCTTTGTTTGTTGTCGTTATTGTTACGTAGAGTAATAACCTACACATAAAACATTTCAGAATTTAAATGCTTAGACCATCTAGAATGTGCAAAATGGGACCATCTTGTAAAAAGAGATTGTGTGATGCATGTATCTGTATTGTCCCTTCTCTCCTGCAGGCACGTTAGACGTCAGGCTCATGGGCTGTCAGGACCTTCTGGAAAATGTCCCGGGCCGTTCCAAAGCAGCTTCTGTCCCTCTGCCGGGCTGGAGCCCCAGCGAGACACGCTCCTCCTTCATCAGCCGAGCAAACCGCAACCGCAGCGTGAGCTCCCGGAACCTAACGAAGAGCGAGGAGCTCTCCAGTGAGTAGACCTGACCGTACACTGTCTGGAAATAAGTAAATATTGATACAGAGATGGAGAAGTAGATCTGCGATTACATCGAGCGTCATAATAAACGAATCACAGCTGGACCATAATGGACCTGAAGAAGGAGGAAGGACCTTGTCTGGAATACCAACTGCATTGCAGCCACAATCAGTACATTGTAAACATTGTCCAGGGTTCGTACGGTCATTAAAAACCTGGAAAAGTCATGGAAATTCAAAATGCAAATTCCAGGCCCTGGAAAAGTTATGGAAAACAATATTTTTCCCAAAGTTTTGGAAAAGTCATGGAAATGTAACTAAAGATGCGTCAAATATAATTTACATTTGATCTAATCGCCAAAATAATCTGCAGTCGCGAGCTGTTATGTGCCATCATAACGCGCATGGTGTTATTTTTTAATATATGAAGTGCGAGCTGTGTGCTCGAGTCTTCCTGCCTCTCGGGCCAGCTGAACTCTGCTGCTCCGGGATGAGGGTCTAGCTTCAGCAGCTACATTACCTACGGTGCGTTCGTTAACAGTAACTGTGCGGAGTCACTGTGGCACAGACTGGACCGCTGGTGAACAGCTGTTAGAACGGTTCAGGTGTTCAGAGCAGAGCTCCCTGTCGGAGCGGCAGAGCGTGATGTGCACTGAAACGTTTTTCTGTCGCAATATTATTTAAGGAATCGTTGAGCTAGCTAACTAGCATACATTGTCAGTATCTGCTAACGTTAGCTTTAGCCTTCGTTTTCAAATAGTTTTTTTCATAGGCTATAAACAGAGGTCGTATAAGTATTGATATTGTACTAGAGTAGAAGTACACAGATCTTGTACTTGAGTAAAAGTAGAAGGACCAGGGTGTAGGAATATTCTGTTACAAGTAAAAGTCCTGTAATCAAATTGTTACCCAAGTAAAAGTACAAAAGTATTCTCATCAAAATATAGTGAAAGTAGCGACAGCAAAAGTAGTCATTGTGCAGATTGGTCCATTTCAGAATAATATATATGATATGTTTTATAATGATTGATCATGAAAGTGTTCTCAAAGCTGGTAAAGGTGCAGCTAGTTTGAATGACTTTGTACACTGCAGGGTAGCTTGTGAATTTACTCCAGGTGGAACTAAAGTCTGATTTAACACTTGATTATATTTCACATCATTCATCCAGATCTGTGAAGTAACTAAAGGTATTAAATACCATTTACCTCTGAACTGTAGAGGAGTAGAAGTACAAAGTAGCAAAACATTGAAATACTTAAGTAAAGTACAAGTATCTCAAAATTGTACCCAAGTATAGTACTTGAGTTTATGAACTTAGTTACTTTACACCACTGGCTATAAAGATAGAAAGACAGCCTTGCACAGAGGCATGACAATACATTTTCAAAATGCTCAACAGTGCTGCCAAAATTATAAACTGACTGCTACACAATTAAAATAAATGCTTTTATATATTTCTATTAGATGTGACTCTTTGGCGTTTCTGTTATTATTAACTGCTTTAGTTGTTCTGACTGCTAAAATCCTCTGTTATTCCTCATTTTAAAGCCGATATTCCGAGGGGTGGGGGGGTCGGGGGGGCTCGGATCCTTGTCACCTTTTTCATACCTGATGAGTTTGCATCCCTGACTACAGTTGCTTTAGCGTGTAGAAGCTGGTAAGTCAACTATTTTATTTGTTTTAGATAGGCACAACATGTTTCAGATGCAGACCTTATTTTCCTGTTCCATGTTAAAATAAACCATTTTCAGTGGTACCGCTGAGAAAGAGTCATTTGTTTTGGTCATGGAAAATTAGGTAAAGGTCATGGAGAAGTCATGGAAAAGTCATTGAAAATCATTGGTGAAAAAGTGTATGAACCCTGAATGTTACATCAGTACTGGAATTTCCATTGGAAAAACTGTTGATGCACAGTCTATAAAGAGGCACATCAATAAGGCATGTTGATGTATAGTCAAATCAATAAAAGGGATTGCAGTGGTGTATGTTCACTAAGGAGTTATGTTCTATAAACGGATTACCCTCCATTTCTATTTTTTTATTTGAAATGTGCACAAAAAAATACAAAACATTTTAATTGAACGAAATGACCATTTGCCTTTTATCAAGCCAGTACTGGCTGGCGGTTGCTTTGTAACTTTATCACTAACATAGCCTACTGTATTCTTTAGATATTAATTATATTTCACAAATGGATAAACATTTTCGAAGATTCCCACCGATGTGCTTTCACAAGCTTGCAAAGTTTTCAGTTGTGGTTCTACAACATAAAATATGCCAGTAAATACCCCACTAGTAGAAGCTTTTCCGTTAAGATAAAAATCAGTGAGATTACTAAACCTCCTCCTCAGACATGGTGACTTTTGCTTAGCTGTGGGGACATGAAGTTTATGACGGCATTATGTAAGCCAGGGGTCGGCAACCTTTTTGATATGAAGTGCCATTTAAAAAAAAAAAAAAAAAAAAAGTTATCAGCGTGCCGACGATCGTGAAGTAGCAACGGGGGGGGGGGAAGGAGTTAGACGCTCGTGAACTGTCAACAGGAGGGCGGGGGGAGCCTTGCTGCGGGGAAGCAGTGTGTGGACCTGTCAGCGCAACTTACATGATGCCGAATTTAACAAACAAATTTAAATAATTGGTTTAAACGGCATAATAATAAGGACGATCGTCCGTTCTGTGATTCTCCAGAACACACAGATGGCCAGTCCGCACACAGCCACGCAAAATCTGCGGCATTTGTACAGCTCCTTATGGGTACTGCAATTTGTGAAGTGCTTTCCTCCGTGGTGAAACGATCAGCCCTGCACCACGGAGGAAAGCGGCAGAAAGTCACCTGGAGTTAAACAGAGCGGGGCTGCGCTGCGTGCATGGCTTCCTTCTGCGCTGCGTGCATGGCTTCCTTCTGCAGGTAACGGGGAGACGCGCTCTGGCGGCGGTCTCGTTCAGGATCCGAAAATCAAATTTAAATATTTTGCCCACTTATTCCACTTATTCCTAGTGTGCCACTGGTTACGGTGCCGCGTGGCAGGGGTTGCCGACCCCTGATGTAAGCTTTTACTCCTGGATTGCATCTATACTTCAACTATTTTAAAAGTGGTTTAAATATATGGAGATTATCCTGCTGAACTAAACGTGGAAGAATCATAAGTGTGTGTGTCCTCAGATGAGATCAGCGCAGTGCTGAAGCTGGACAACACGGTAGTCGGCCAGACGAGCTGGAAGTCAGTCAGTAACCAGGCCTGGGACCAGAAGTTTACATTGGAGCTGGACCGGGTAACACGCACACACACACTCCCCTAACCTACATCTGTCTTGTTGTCTCAGTGTGGTGTTTGAACACAGTCAGTGTGTTTCACATGTTGCTTGTGTGTCCTGCAGTCTCGTGAGCTGGAGATCTCGGTGTACTGGAGGGACTGGCGCTCGCTCTGCGCCGTCAAGTTCCTGAGACTCGAGGACTTCCTGGACAACCAGCGTCACGGGATGTGTCTGTACCTGGAGCCACAGGGGATGCTGTTTGCTGAGGTACACACACACACACACACACACACACACACACACACACACACACACACACCGTTAGTTACAATTGACAGGTCACATTGAGACAGCTCCTGGTAACCATAATGGACAGGACTGTAAAATTATAAAAATCTAAAGAAATGTCTGTTGATATATATTTGATTACTTCTTTTATGTTACATGTTTGAAAGTGTGTCATAGCAGCTGTTTTCTGTTGCGTCTAAATATTAATTTCTCTTTTTCAGGTTACATTTTTCAATCCTGTCATCGAGAGACGACCAAAGCTACAAAGACAAAAGAAAATTTTCTCGAAACAGCAAGGTGAGTCAACATTTCTTCACTCTATTGTGATTCTCAGACGCGCATTACAGACATGTACATTTGTTAACTGAGGCTTGGATGGTATATCTAATCATTTTGTGGATCTTGGATTCACTAAAAACAGTATTCATATTTCCTAAATGTCCCCAAATATGTTGCTAGCTCGAAAAAGAAAAATGACTTTGTGTACCTTGTTTTTTCCTTTGACTCTTTCTCCTTTTCAAACGTCTTAACTTCTTTGCTCTTTGTCCCGTTGGCCTCTGTAACATCAGGTATAACCTTCCTGCGGGCCCCTCAGATGAACATCAACATCGCCACCTGGGGCCGCCTGGTGAGGAGAGCCATACCCACCGTCAGCACCAACTCCTTCAGCCCGCAGGCGGTTGAGACCGGGACCGGCAGCGTGCCGGGCTCCCCCACACCCTGCAGGTACTCACACCAGAGGTTGCGCTAGACTTTTTCGCTGTCCGTGACAGGATCGTAACATTTCCGTCAAAATTCAGTATTACCCGTCGGCCTTTACACAACTCTGACGAGGGGGGGGAGAGAGCACGCTCGTGAACTGTCAACGGGGGGGGGGGGGGGGGGGGGCTGTGAACTGTTAGGGCCGTGTTATGCATGCTCACTGCACCTCGCGGGAGCGCGCACAGCGTAAAGCAGAAACTCGCAGACATTTCAATGATTTGTACGGCAAAGATAGGTTTGGATACGGTATCATTTCCTTTTTGGCGGGCATGCATAACACGGCATAACGCCGGAGCCTCGCCGCGGGGAAACTTTGGCGCTGTTCCGAGTTTGTTCTAATCCGTCAAAATGACGGACTGCTTTCAATATTCGGTTAACGCGACCTCTGACTCACACACACCCTGCAGGTACTCACACACACATATATAAACAAGGTTATTCTAAAGTAATTAACTCATAAAACGATAGTTACGTATGTAACTACGGTTCTATTTCATCCTTACTGACCGCCAGAGGCGGTGCTTAGCACTGGATGACTTATATCAAGTCACGAGGAAGTCTGAGTACTTAACCTATAGGGATGGCCTAGGTGGACTCTGCAGGAGGACCACACCCAGCGGGTGAGGGGCGGCAACATTCACTCTGTAATATCTGGCGAATGTGCTCAGAGATGCCCATGTGGCCGTGGCACATATGTCCTCCAGGGGCACACCTCTCAAGGTCGCCCATGACATGGAGACACTCCTGGTAGAGTGGCACTTTACTCTGGGTGGCAAGGGACGGTCATTCGCCTTGTATGCCTGGGCAATGACGTCCACGATCCAGTGGGACAAGTGCTGCTTGAGAGCGCACAGCCCCTTCTAGGACCACCGTAACACACAAAGAGCTGCTCAGACTGACGCATGCCTGCGGTAGTCTGGAAATAAGCTCTAAGGGCCCGCACCGGGCATAAGAGTCTTGACCTCTCTTCCCCCTCTCCTGATGGGGGGTCAAACCGTGCCAGCTGGATAGGCCGATTTAAAATGAGAGCGTGCCAGCACCTTAGGGAGGAACGCTGTCGGCCATAAGGTGACACCTGAGCCATCTGAGTTCCACCTCAGACACGGGCTGTTCACGGACAAGGCCTGAAGCTCGCTTACACGCTTTGCTGAGGTGATGGCAAGAAGGAAAGCAGTAAGAAGTGCAGCGAGAAGATGAAAAAGGACTGAACTCGTTGACAACACCGGAACTTATGCCTTCCGGGGTCATACGTGACTTTGTTGATATAAATATTCGACCTGCACATGCGCGAGACAGAAGATATCCAGTGCTAAGCACCGCCTCTGGCGGTCAGTAAGGATGAAATAGAACTAAATCTTGTACCTCTGCCTTCTCACAGTGACCCGCTGGTGACCAAGCTGGACTTTGACAAAGAGCCCACCCCAGGAACCAAACACTACCCCGCACCTGACGACCTTCGAGAACCTCTGGTGCAGGACAAGATGCCCGACAAGGAGGAAGTGCAGGTACAGTGATGAGTGACTGCTATCACTGTTGACTGATCATTCATAAACATCGTTTTACCCCTGTCTTATGATAAAACGCTGTCAGCTACATGGTTATAATAAATACAAGCTTTCATTAAGACGTTTCCAATGTATTGACTCAAGATGACCTCACTGAGTCAATAAAGGGGAAAGATCCCATGTATGCATTTCACAACTAAAACCTAAAGTTGGTGGCAGCTGGCTGAAGGGTATCGCCTCAAAGTTTCCAACTTGCTGTTGGCTTTAGTGTGTGTACAAAATACATGTTTTTATTTAAAGGTAAAAATGCCAAAGATAGCAAGTTCTACTCGCCTTTCTTTTTAAGTGTTACATCTGGAATCTGATCTCAAGCAAACAATTGATCTGTCGTTTGTTCACATAAACTTATATGTTCAAATATTGTTTTGTTTTTATATATTAAAGAATATTCGTTGACAGTATGTTACGATTTATAGAGCATATTTGTGAACTGAATTGAGACACAACAGATAAATAACACCTTAAAGCCCTCTCCCCCATCTTTTCTTTTTACCAACACCTCAATGACTTCCTTATTTAACAACAATCCACTATTTCACCTCCTGCTTGGTGCTCCCTCTCTGCAGGACGCCCTGGCCTCCTTTGACTTCCTGAACAAGAGGAACAGCATGGCTCTGAAGCCGGAGCTGGACAGGGTGGTGGAGCAGGTGATGCAGCACCCGGAGCTGGAGCTCATCGCCCTGCAGAAGGACACAGAGATAAGGTATTGTGTTCACACTTTCATGCTGTTCAGACTCTCACGTGTTCAGTGCTGCTGAAACACCGCCCCCTGGCTATCAATCTGCAGTTTCTGAGTCAAACTGTCATGTGCAATACAATAATACTTTATTGTTTGATTGAGTCTGAAATTGTTCTTGCATCACAGCAGCTCGATTAGCATCATCAACATGGACACATTAAGACAAGATACAAGAAAGAGACATTTAACAGGACATTATAATCATTGAAGAGGATATTTTGAAGACCCTTTAATGTACATTTGATCTGGGATTAACTCTATATTTAATTTGAGGATTGACTAGTGCACAAAGGAATGATTCAGTCTAACCTGATTAAATGGCGGGACCCTGTATCTGCATGTGGTTTCATATTCAAACCCCCAGCTTTATGCAGGCCTCTACATGTATTTCACAATGGATCTGAATGTAAACACTGGTCTGTTTCCAGGGAAGAAGAGCAGTTCCACTTCAGTCTCCAAGACTTCAAATGTGTGGCAGTCCTTGGACGTGGTCACTTTGGAAAGGTACGTTAAGTAGTCAAAAGGTATACTACAGATCTTTGAAAAGTCAAATAAAACATTTCATTATTTGAATCAAAAGTAATAGATCAGTATATTAATTAAATATATTTCTAAAGTTTTTTTATCAACAATTCAAATATTTTTATATATATATATGAAGTTGGCTCCCAAATATTACAGTGAGAAGCATCAAATTCTAACTTTTGAGAAACTGGAACTTGGAAAAGATGGCATTTTTCCTCAAAATATGACTTGCACAAAGCAGGCACAAGCTGAAATATATTTCCCCTAAAGCTTGTCTGCTCTGCCCCCCCCTCAGGTGTTGTTAGCAGAATATAAGAGCACAGGAGAGATGTTCGCCATCAAAGCTCTGAAGAAAGGAGACATTGTGGCGCGAGATGAGGTGGACAGGTAAATATTTACAGTTCCTGCTCAGACTGGATGTGTAAGAAGATGTAAAAATGGAGCTGCTGTAACTCTGTCTCTCTCTCTCTTCAGTCTCATGTGTGAGAAGAGGATCTTTGAGGCGGTGAACAGCGTGCGCCACCCCTTCCTCGTCAACCTGTTTGCGTGTTTCCAGACGCAGGAGCACGTGTGTTTCGTCATGGAGTACGCAGCTGGGGGGGACCTGATGATGCACATCCACGCTGATGTGTTCTCCGAGCCCAGGGCCATGTGAGTGACCCAATGTCTGTTGGAGAACTGTTGTGAGGGTCTTTGGATGTCATGGTTCTCTCAGTAGCCTGGGTTTGTGTCTGGTTTCTGATTGTCTCATCCTTCTTGGGATATGGCCTCATTTTTATATTGTAAAGTTCTATTTTTGCTTTCATTTTTTAGCACGGAGATCATTTGCGGGAAAATATCAATACGAATTTTGACAAAATATGTATAAAATGAATTTCCTCTGTGTGTAACACTTGTATTCCTCTATTCCCAGGATTATTATATATTAATGAGGAATTTGCTTTGTGTTGTGGGGGATAATATCATCTTTTATGGCTATTATAAAATGATAATGATATGGCTAACATGATAGCAAACAGATAACACATCCAGCCGATATAAAGGAACATTAGCATTTCAATCTAGGTCTAGCTCTCTGATTAATCAACCGCTCAGAGATGTCCCGCCCCTTAGCCTATCACGTAATAATGCATTTTATTTATGTAGGCGCCTTTCAAAACTATTAGTCGCCTAACGTACAAAGTGTTGGAGCGCTAACCAATTTAAGCACGAGTGTAATGCAGTGATGTCACTGTTACTAAAGTAAACAAAGGAGTGCAATGGAGGTGTTTCAGGCAGGGGGGGGGAGTTTGTGGGAGAGAAACTCCCTCTGGAGGGAACACAGGGATGTTAGCCTTTGCAGACCCTTTACATGCACTACAACCTATAGAACACACTACAGGAGAGGGAAGATTAAAAAAAAGCATAGGGCCTCTTTAAGCTTCAATTCAATAAATAAAGCAAATTCTAAAATCTAGAAAAAATGTGTAACTGGGGAGCTACTAAAATAAAGAACATTGTAAAAACAATGTATGGACTGTTCAAAATACAATAAAAGGAAATGACAACACAAACATTTAAAGACACTTTTGAAAAAATAAACCACAAATTTGAATTATAACTGACTGTTTTCTTCGTATTCAGAAAGGCTATTGTGACCTAATCCTGATGTTGCTGTTGTATCCTCCTGCAGATTCTACGCAGCCTGTGTGGTGTTGGGGTTACAGTTTCTTCACGACCATAAGATAGTGTACAGGTGAGACTTTGAGAGTCATTCAACTCACACACATCTGACTGCAGCATGACGGCTTTAATAACACTTCTTTGTTTCCAGAGATCTGAAGCTGGACAACCTGCTGCTGGACACGGAGGGCTACGTAAAGATCGCTGACTTTGGTCTTTGTAAAGAAGGTACAATGGAAACATTCAAAACATTAAACAATAAAACTGCAATACAGTCACCAGACCATAAATGCTCTCATTTTTAATCGGTATTTGTTTTTATTTTTGAGTTTTCAAATTGACTCTTCATTTCATTTTTTCAGAAAGCATTTGTTTTTATAAATGTAGTTTGATTTAAAGTTAAGGCCATGTATAATGTTTCTTAAGTGTGAAGCTACTTGTATAGAAAACGCATGTTTGGAGAACTGTGCAGAAATGGCTATAACATTAAATCTTTGAATTTTGGAATCAGCGTTCCTCTTTGGCTTCTAGAAAATGACTTCAACTAGTTAGGGTGGAGTTGAGTAACATTTGATCTGCTAGAATCTGCTAGAATATCTAATATAATTGTACAAGTCTAGACTACATGTGATAAACAAACAGGGATTCATTTTGAGCATAGCTCCATCTCATGGACTGTCATGTGAACTGAAATGAATTGAAGTTCATTTTTGGTGATTTTATTAGTTTTTAAACCAGACAATATGTTTCACTATATCAGAGGTCGCATTAACCGAATATCTTCCGTCTGACGGATTTTTTTTAGCAATGCCGGAAAAATCTGAAAGCAGTCCGTCATTTTGACGGATTAGAACAAACTCGGAACAGCGCCAAAGTTTCCCCGCTGCGAGGCTCCGGTGTTATGCCGTGTTATGCATGCCCTCCAAAAGGAAATGATATTGTTTCCAAACCTATCTTTGCCGAACAAATCAAGGAAATGTCTGTGAGTTTTGGCTTTACGCTGTGCGAGGTGCAGTGGGCATGCATAACACGGCGCTGACAGTTCACGGGCGTGCTCTTCTTGGGTAATACTGGATTTTGACGGAAATGTTACGATCCTGTCCGTCAAAATGACAGGCAGCGAAAAAGTCTAGCGCAACCTCTGCACTATATATATATTTTTGTATGTCTTTTCGGTTGACTACTGAATACTAACGTTAGGAATAATATAGCTTCCAAATGAGTTTAAAACGACCTATTCCTGACCTCAGTTATTGATTGATTTAGAGAGAAGGTGATGGTTTTATTGATCCTCCTCTGTGTTCCTGCAGGAATGGGCTTCAAGGACCGCACCAGCACGTTCTGCGGGACGCCGGAGTTCTTGGCCCCGGAGGTTCTGACTGAGACGTCGTACACCCGCGCCGTGGACTGGTGGGGGCTCGGAGTGCTCATCTTTGAGATGCTGGTCGGGGAGGTGAGGGCTTCCTCAATGTTCGCAGGATTAATGATTACATTGCATGATTGCACCTTCACTAGCGCTTAGTCCTTTAACATTGTTGTATACCATTATGTCAAGTGATTAATGCTGCTTATTCTAGTTTATTTATATAGTACATTTCATACGACCTGCATTTGAAATAATTAGTTAAAATCATACCTGACAAAAGGGGTTATTATTACACTTACTTTTATAATTTTCATTAAGAAGAGAATAATATTACTGATTCTTGAACACAAACTTAACTTAAAGCCAAATAAAGTGTTTTTATCAAAAAGGCTGTTATAGCAGACCTAAGTTAGTTCATGTTGTAGATTATTCCAGAGAGAAGGATCCTAATACCTTAAAACAACATCATCTGATTTAGAATAAACCAAGGGTACGGTAACGCATCCTACACACGGTTCCGTCGCGTGCTCCACGGAGACGCTTCCCATTCACTTTGAATGGGGTGACGTCACGCTTTGCCGAACTGCATTGTGGTTCCGTTGCTTCACTTTGCCTCCGTTGCTCGCGGTGAAAGTTGGGAAAAGTTCAACTTTTCAAGCGCAGACGGAAGCGCTAGCCAATCAAATCATATGCCAGTACACGGAACCGTGTGTACGGGCCGTAAGGAGCCCTTTACTTGATGCTCAGTGGGATCCGTCAGCTGTGTTTTCAGTGAGCGTTAGTGACCAATAATCTGCAGTTGTCATGTTTTCATCTTTTTAATCTGGGCACTTTTCAGTCGCCGTTCCCCGGTGACGATGAGGAGGAGGTGTTCGACAGCATCGTCAACGATGAAGTCCGCTACCCACGGTTCCTCTCCACTGAGGCCATCTCCATCATGAGGAGGGTGTGTACGGAGAAATGTGATGACATTTAAAACTGAACTATCAGGAAAATGCTTGCATTTCCCGCCTGACAAACCCTCACTATGTAGATACGTTTATTGTTGACTGTATTTCCTGTTTGTCCCTGTGCTCAGCTCTTGAGAAGAAGTCCAGAGCGACGGCTGGGAGCCGGGGAGAGGGACGCAGAGGAGGTTAAGAAACATCTATTCTTCAGGGTAAGCATCGAAAACACCATTTAATTTACGCTTTGGCACAAACTGGACTGTAGGTCAATTTGTGCCGCTGTTAGAACGTGCCATCAGAGCAGAGCACAAAGTGCAGGGAATGTGTTGAAGTTGCTTTGTACACTCTGATAAGCAGGAGGCACTACATCTTTCTATATCACATATTGATAGTAGAGCTGTCGTTGTTAGGACATTAACAATCCGGTTAATCTAGAAACCTTAACCTTAAAAAATGTCATGCAAATTCATCACATTATCAAGTTGCTCCCGAATTCCAGCGCCAATGTCTATTATAAATTGCATGTAGAAAGTGGCACGAGACGTGAAGTGCACTGATTTAGCAGAAGCTCATTTCTTGCAAAGTCGCACAACAGTGGGAAATAGAGGACAGGAGGGACATGAAGTGCTCGCAGTATGATAGCAGCAGAGAGACTATGCTCTGTGTAGCGCATACTGTCCGTGACAGCAGATTTGTGGATGCTTGAGTGTCGGAAATCATGTTCTAATAAAGTAAAAAACCCTCCGATTTCTCTCACCAGTTTGTCATGCTTCTTTTTATTACAACATCACACATGTATTTGTTTTATCCCCTTTTAAAAATACAAGTAAAGGCTAGTATTTTAAACCTATGAGTAATCATGATTAATCACAATTGAACTGGACAAACCCCCTAATGTTTCTCTCTGTCTTTCTGTCAGAACATGGATTGGAACGGGCTGTTAGCGAAGAAGGTGAAGCCCCCGTTCGTGCCGACCATCCAGGGCACCAACGACGTCAGCAACTTCGACGACGAGTTTACCTCGGAGGCCCCCATCCTGACCCCGCCCCGGGAGCCCCGGCCGCTCAACTCGGACGAGCAGAACATGTTCTCTGACTTTGATTACATCGCCGACTGGTGTTAGCTCCACCGGACCCCATAAACCACAAACACTGTGAACACACCAACGCAGCGAGGACTGTAGCTCACATCATCTTTAAAAAAGTGTTCCTCGTCCAAAACGTCGAGGAGGAGCTGCGAGCTTTCGGGCAAGAACTCTGTGCCATTGAGAAGAAGCTCCACATGTTTTTTAATCCACATGAAGAACTTTTTTTTTATTAAGAAAACAAGAGAAACTCTGTTGTCGGAGAGTGAAGGAGGAGGGATGCTTCGTCCTCCTGCGCATGTCTTCGTGTCCATTGTCTGACCACTGAGAATGTTTTTCATATGAACTCCGAGGAGACGGCATCACAATCATGTTATCCAGTGTCGCTGTCGTCAGTTATTTTGGATCTGTACAGATTATATTCAGTCATATATATTTTATGGTCGTGTTATGTTCCTCTTCTTTACTTGCAAAGCCCTCACCATCATTTAAGTACGTTTTATTTCAAAAGTTCACATTTCTGCCGGCTGTTCAGTGGATTTAAAGTGCTCAAAGCATTCTCACTGAGCTACACACATCCTGACTACTACTGCTGCTTCCTCACTTGAAATCAAAGGAACAGTCTTTACACTACATTTCCTTTTTGTCCTGGAACCGGTCTCTGTCCAAAATCAGTTCTCTTGTTTGTTTAGATTCCTTTTCTGCAAAACCCACATAACAAATTCTATTCAGTTAAAAACAGCAGTGTAACGTGCTACTTCATACTAATAACCAACACTTGGTTTTATTTGTTAAATTCAAATGAATAAAAAAAATTAGGACTTTAGAAGAAGCGTTTGTTGAGAAGAGCTTATGCTAAAGATTATTCTGTCTGTTTCTGCTGCCTCCTAGTGGCTCAATAGACATCCAACTAATATTCATTCATATTTTCTTCTGGCGAGAGTTTAGTTGTATTTCAATCTTTTTTTATTTAATTTTTCCTGAATGAACAGCTGGTTGTAAAGATCCTGACAGCATTTTCTTGTTACCTCAGTCAAAGTGAAAGCACTAAAGTGAGTCGCTCAGTTAAAAGCTAACAAAACCAAATGCGTCCTGTCCCTCTTGAAGCAGAAGACAAACTCCTCATGGGTAAAGAAAACCTCTGATGATGAACCCAACGACAGATGAAGCGAAGACAATGGTGGAGTTGTTTTTCTGGGAACTTTATAAACTGTTTCTGTGGACATGCCATTGAAATGCTCCCACAGTGGAACCAGCTGGTGACTTGTTGCATGTTCCATATAAGCAGAGGCCTGTTGATATGAATCAATACAGGGGAGGGCAGGTATATTATATATACATACTGTATGTACACAATTAAGCTGAGAGCACTAATTTTATCAATAGTTTTTAATTATCTACGTTTCTTAATGAAAATAGATTGTACAAAGTTTTTTTGTATTCTTCGCTTGTGCATGTTGCCAGAACAGATGAAAAAGGTTATGGATGGTACACCAATACTCATGTCACAACTGCTCACCCTGGTGTATAAAAAGAGGAAGTTGTTTCTGCAGTCGTTGCCCATCATGATGCACAAATTAAACATTTGTAATAGTGGATTTCTTGTTTTGTACCTCTGATATTGAAAGCAACCTGTCTTTTTTCTGTGGAAACTCATTTTGAAAGTGCCCCTGAAGAGGATGTAGAATTTTCCATTCCCTCTATAATTGACCGGAGTAGAAAAGAACCACAATTTCATGTAAACAAACGTTTAATGAGCTGATTTCCATGCTTTGATGAAAATCTTGTATTTATTTTTTAAATTACTTAGAACAATTCTAACTAACAAAATAGAACCAGGTCATTTTTCTACAAAAAACAAAGTTTTATGTTTACAATATGAAACCAGCCTAAAATTGCAATCAAATACATGTTCTCACTTGGACATATATACATGATACAGTCTGCAAGCATTTGTTTTTAAGCACTGGAATGTGTCCGTTTTATTCCTGTGAGGGCGCCTCGGCAAAGGCAAGAAGTCTTCCAAATCCAACACAAATACGATTCTAAAGAAAGAATACAATCCTGTAAGTACAGCAGAGAAATATCGTGGCTGTGTGGGGGGGCACGCAGGCTTCACAGTTGGGGCAGCTTGTCGACGGGTGTGTCGAATTTGAAGTCTGTAGGGAAGAGTTCTGCGGCGCGGGGGTAGATGAGGCGGTATGACTGTCGGATCGTAACGTCTGCAACGCCGGCAATATCCCCGATTTCTGTGGAAGCATCATAGTTTAGATTCATTCAGATATAAACTGCTAGAGGCATCACATCCAGACCAGCATGAGGAAGCTTTACAGACATGTATATGAGACCATTAGGGCGTACTGCTGACTCAGCATAACCCATTTTAATAGATTGAACCACAGGTGTTAAATGAACAACTCTACCTCAAGTGATGCATTTCCCTTAACTACTTCCACCTTTGTGAGAATTCACTTCACTTATTTTAAGTGGGCAATATTTTATTGCAGTATGTACTCAACTACATTTATCTAGTGGCTTTAAAGAGGCCCTTTAATGCTTTTTGGGTGTTCCCTCTCCTGTAGTGTGTTCTATAGGTTTTAGTGCATGTAAATGGTCTGCAAAGGCAAAAATCCCTGTGTTCCCTTCATCTACCTTCTCCCCCCCTCATGCCTGATCCAAATAGTGTTCTGTAGTTTCAGGACTGGGTGCAAAAGCGTTGGCCTACAAGGACCTATTCTACCAGTATAAGTGAATATTTAAGTGTAATTTATTTAAATCAATACAACCTGTGTCCCTGAACAGTGTGATCACAGCGGCCCTCACCTTTCTGGGTCTTCTTCTCGGCGGAGGCCTGGGAGGCCATGTAGATGGCTGCTGCAGCCACAGAGATGGGGCTCCTGCCGGGCACCAAGTCCAGCTCCACCGCCTTCCTGGCGATGTAGGTGGCCGCCATTTGCACCTGTTTGGGCAGGCCCAGGTTGGAGCAGAAGCGGGACATGAAGTCTCCAGTGGTGATCAGGTCCACGCTGGTCTCCAGCGCCTTCAGGATCAGCTTGAAGCATCTGCCGATCTCCTTCTTGGAGATCCGGGAGACGGCGCAGATCTCTGAAGGGGCGGAGGAGAGAATAGGGGGAAGAAAATCCATTTAGGAAAGAGCGACAAGGTTTTTTTCTGCCAGTATGGATTAGTACTTACCTCTTAAGGCCAATACTACAACATAACACACTTTCTTATCTGTAGTTTATGCACTATTAAGGGTAAAAAAAGGCTGCAGATGTAATGTGCAAGAAATAATCATTTGATTTATAACATTTATTTTCCCTCTAAACCTTTAAGAAAACTGTTATAAATTGAAATAGTTTGGCTGTAAGTTACAGAGTGTTGGAGATATAAGCTGTATGCATGTCTGCTATCTCTCCATAACAGATCTAGACATCACACCTGTGGTTTCCTCAGATCAGCCACAGACCGTGGTGAGAGCAGCTTCATGTGGGAACTATTCACTTTCTACCATATCAGTGCGCAGGAGGAATCAAATCAAGTTTTATTTATACAGCACATTTTTAAACGATTTTTGGTCGAGCCAAAGTGCTGTACATATAATAAAATACCCTACAGCAAATACAACAGCAGTTTGTTCAGAATATCAGTATGAGAAAAACGACACCCTCTGTCCTTAGACCCTCACATCGTACAAGGAAGCTGGCATTTAGTCATGAAGAAGAGGCTTCTGACAATGTGTATGTAAACATGAATGGCCTCCTCTGAGCAGCTCTACGCTTGGTTCTTACGAGAGAGTAAACCTGTCCTGACCTTTGAACGTCCTCGGTACTCCTTCCTGTCTGCAGGCGATGTAGAGGCAGGCGGAGGCGATGGCATCGTTGGCTCGGCCCTTCAGGCTCTTCTGTTCATAGACCTGCTTGAACAGGTTGTTGGTTCTGTCCTGCAGGGCAAACACATCATTTACATTAGTTGCATGTTCTTAATCAAAAGCTACATCTTTATTAGAGCTCTACTTTGAAGCTGATTGGCAGAAACCTGAGAGTTCCAAACCACATAGCAATAAAACAATATATACCAGGTTAAACAAACTTGTATGAAGCGGGTTTTGATAAAAAAATATAACAATTAAAAGCTGTTATTGTTTTGCATAAGCATAAACCTTTACACAAATATCATTACAATCTGCCTTGATGCACATAACTTTGGAAAGGAAATTCTCCTTTAATATGAACTGTCCAGCTAGGTTTCAGAAAGCTCAAAATCACCATTATTACTAAATGTTACAAGAGCAAAAGAAATCATCTAAAATGCCGGGAGAGTTTCTGACTGACGTTATGTGCTGAGACGATGTCTACATGTACATCAAGTGGAGGGAGGCTCATGACGGCCTGGGTGTGCAGTCTCCCTCTCTTCAGGCCAACAAAAAGGGCGTCACCAAATCCGTTGGCTGAATTTATATTTAAGAGGGGAACTGTGACATTCAGATCGAGTGAAACAGGAAATGACAACAAGCTCGAAAAAACAAAGACTGCCACAAAGTTTGTTGATCTTCAAACTCAAAAGAAAGTGTTTCTGAAAAGCTAATGATGACCATTCCATGTCAAATCAATAGAACACTATCTTATCCTGATGTTTAACCATTACAAAATGAGTCATGATGACCAAGTACAAATAAGGCTAACCTTTGCCTCTGCTAGTTACATGTCCACTATATCTCAGTTTTGTATTTCAATGGAATTCATTTGATTTCATCATTCAGGAGACATCAAGGGATACTCAACCCACTCGTTCAAACTTCTGCACTTTAGTTTCCATTTCCAAATAATGACATGGTTACATAATAAGCATATATATAGTCCAGTTTCATTTCTATTGTTCTCTTGCCCACACGTGCGTGGTTTTCCTTTCTCTTTGCCGTCTCTCGTGTGTTTAGTGTGACATGGCTCCTTAAAGTGGAGCAGCTTTTTGCATTCGACTGGTTAACCACACCTGCTTCAGCACATTAGAGAGTCAGTTAGTTTGGAACTTACTATGATGTTCCTTGGCAGGTTGATGCGGTCGGCCATGGTGGTGATCTCTTTGAAGGCGTTGAGCATGGCCCGGTCCGAGCTGCTCATGGTCCGCCGGTTCTGGTACTTGGAGTTACCGAACTCATCGAAACTAGCGGAGCCGGTTCCCTGTGGGGGAACAGTGGATGTTCATCAGTAAAACTCACAATTTGTAGTCTTATTTCAAGAGGGACCATAATAGCTTTGAGGAAGTGGTTGTACTCTGTTGCCGCGGACGATGACTGATAATGACACCGAAGGTTCTGCATCACTGTGGCCAACACTCACGAAAGAATCTGAGAACATGTCGACTGATTTTCAAAAGCTTTGAGAGAGAGCTGGCTCAGGCCTGCCTACAGCAGCCCCTGGCTGTGCTGCTATAGGCTTAGGGTGGCTTTGTTGTCATAGGCCTATAGTGTTTTGGTTTTTTCAAACTGACACTTGACACTAAAATTAGAGCATTGTTGTTTGAAGAAACGCTCCATTTCTACATGAACTAACAAATGAGCATTTTCCTATAGGTATATTGTAAATCATGTGGCTCCTCTTACATATCAGTAATTATCATAATGTAAGAGATGAGACATGATAGCTTGTGGACTCTACCAATATAAATTGGAATGAGAATGCTAAAGCTAACTTTAGGATTTAAAGAAAATGTAAGGTTTTCTTTGAATGATATAGCAAAAAAGTAGCTTTCACACATTCACAGTGCCGCTCTGAATGGTACGTTCCAACAGCGCTCAATATTTACAAATGGTCCAGTTTGTGAATGATTCGGAGTGACTATTTACAAACGCTCCCCGTTTGGGGACTTTCACCCTTTAGAATCTGGAGCCTAATGCCTGGAGTTCTCTCTCACCTGGCAGTATGCCCGTGCAAAGGTAATGCCTGGATCATTAATCATTGCCATGGTTCTGCCTGATGCCCATGTTTTTACCGTTTGGCCACCCCTGGAAGGTTTTTGACATCTTCCTTGATGAGTCATTTGTATATACATTTTAGTGGCGAGCCGTCAGGGCCCTCTCTGAAGGCGAAGATATTCTAAAAAATAATATTTGAAAACATTGAAAAAAAACAATTTTTATTTAAAAAAACATATATTTTTCATTAGTTTTACCAAAATAACTTGATTTAATTGTATTTAAAATAACATTTCCAAATAAATAAATCTTTCGAATCTGCCTGTTCAGTTTCTGTTTGAATGTGAAGGGTTTAAGAAGCTCCTTTAGCCCTCTCTGCGAGTTACTGTGAAGACGGGAGCTGATTGGTGGTCCTGCTATGAATTCAGAGGACGAGAGAGTAATGTCAAATGACAGTACAATTGACCAATCATATCTTCCCTCTAAATGGGTGGGCTTTATTTTCGCGGACTTTATGACAAGTTCCGCCTGCTGTGAAGTTTATGTAAGTGTATAGAGTGGTGCAGTGACGAGTCCTAAAACCCGGAAGTAAGCTGCGCTCCAGTTCCCTCGACAGAAAAGCAAATGGGATTTCTCCATAGGGTTTTGGAAAATAGCTGGAAATAAGGTCTGTGGAAAACGAACCTGTTTTGTTCAGCCGGATAATCTCCACATGTCTACCCTACTTTTATTATTTTCTAATCATAATCGATAGATTTACGATCGATAGATTTATGATTAGCATAAGTTCGTTCATGATGGCTCATGTCAGTGATAGTGATGACATCGTAGGGAGGCGTGTGGTGCAGTGGGTTGTGCGTTGGTGTTCGGATCAGGGGAGCACAGGTTCAAACCCCACTGCAGTCAGCATGTCGTTGTGTCCCTGGTCATTTTCATCATTGAGTTACAATGATAAACTCAGCTGATCAGCTGCATGACCCGCCATCAAGTGCTTCATCCAGAAGGACAGGAGGATGGACTTTGTGTTTCAGTGATATGATCATCAAAGGTAGGCCCAAGTCATTTTCAATGTGGGCCGCCGTGCCGACTTAACTCATTTGTAATTGTTACTTGGCTGTGGGTGCCCTGTCATGATAGGTGTTTAGATAAATGGTGTTGTTTTGTGTGGTAGTGTCATTGATGCGTTTTGCACCCCGGGCCGTTGTTTTGATATTCCGCTGAAGTATATGCTGTGATTCTCATTATCATTTGTGTCACATGGATTGTGATGTCTTCATTTGATCAAGTTCATGAATCCATAAACACTACACCTGTTGCCCGTCTGTCTAAGGACAGAGGGTGTTGTATAACGCCCCCTGAGACATACGTTTCATTTGATCAGGCTATATAAAAACATGTATTTGATCTGGTCAAAAAATTCCAGTTGCTTAAAATCGCCTGATGATTTGAACTGCCAGCACCAACATCTTGAAAAAGGAAGGACTCTTCCTCACCTTGCTGATCATGGTGGTGAGGTCTCCCCCGTTGAGCAGGGGGTTCTGAGCATCTCCCACTCTGGAGGGATCTTTGAGAGCTTTCTCATTGGAGAAGGTTCTCCACTCTGAGCCGACGTCGATTACACGGTCACCTGAGGAGAGACGATTCGAGCAATTTAAAGCTATGAAAATACATAAGGAATTAAAGCACAGATGAACCATTTCATATTATTTAAATGTAGAAGTAATAATGTTTCTCATGGGGGCCACAATGCTGTTTTCATCTTTGAAATTGATGCATGGTTTTTGACTCGAGCACCAACACAAGAAAGCAAGAAACATTGTGCTTTTCCTCCTGGGGCCCAACGGCATGTTCCCTTTGGATTGATACATGCCATGTTTCTGTTAGGTCAGCTTTTTGTTGACGGCTGCAGCTGATGCTCCAAAACAGATTTCATGTTCTTCCTTCATTGATGGAAACAAAGAAACGTAATGCAACAACAAACACTGAGGAGCCCTTTTCAGAAACAACGCTCTGTAGTTTTGGTAGATTTTGTTAAAGGCCTTGTGAATACAGAATACACACAAATAAAAGAGTTAGTCCGCACAATAGAATGCATTCACTGCGTCCTTCTGTGTGGCTGCGTTACATCCCTCTGGAGTCATTAACAGAAGATGGTGCAATATTCAGCATTATTCCCTCATGTCATTCTCTAGAGACTCAAGTACTGTCTTAGCCCTTCCGTACGGACTCTAATCAGAGCATCACATGCAAATAAACATTATTCTGAATCTAGCTTGAACATCTTACACATCATCCCTTGCCCTTTTTCTTTCTCATGTTCTCATCAATGTATGTTTTGAGACAGAAATACATAATAAAAGATGTACAAAGGATCCAAGGTGTGACAAAGGCCTGGCATATTGCTATTTATCAAGCCTGCTATTAGCACTGCAGGATTACATTTGTGATATGTTAATCCTGTTAGCTTTTTATGTTATGTACAAGTCTTTCTAACGTCTCGAGGCAAAGCAACAGTCATCTCCGGAGGGGAACCGAGGGCTTGCATCAGAGAGCGGCTGGTGTGTCCCCCATGACCCCCACCCCCCCTGTCATGGGGCTCGTTAGAGGAGGGCTGTTCCCTATAGATTTCTCTTACAGCCTGCATCACATGTTCAAAGGCTATATATTGTAGTACTATGTGCAAATGTATATCGTTTTTCATTTTCTAACGCGTTACGTTTATTCATTTTTTATTGCATTCTTAAAAAACTTATTTTTTCATTTACATTTTTGTATTCTCCTTTTATTTATTTTTTATTTCATTCTAAAAATGGAGCAAAAGTCATCCTGTGATAAATAAAGATTCTAACTCTGATTGCTGCTTATATCTGTGCCTGTATGCACCTCCACAACACATGACGGATTGATTCAAACCCTTTGTTAAAACGTTTCACTGATGCTTATTTATTTGAACATGGATAACAATGTATAGTTGTTGACCTTGTTTTCCATGTCAGCAGCTGTTGTGCATTTAAATCCTTCATTTAATAAAGCTACTGCTGACTACACGCGCAAGAAATAACATCTAATTAGGGTGACTTGGTAGGGACGCTAGAGGACACAAACGGAGGACTTTCCTTCACTTATTCATTCCTATTTAGGCTCTAGGCTCTGGAACACTCTGCCCCTCCATGTGAGGTCGGCCCAGACCCTAGGGGTTTTTAAATCTACACTAAAAACACACTTCTTCTCTCTGGCCTTCTAGTTAGAGCGGAGCACGACTCCTGATTTTTCCTTGTGTTTTATTTTTTATATATATCTGTTGTAATTTATTGTCTTTTATTGTGATTGTAGTAATGTGTTTTTATTACATGTACAGCACTTTGGCTCGACCAAAAATCGCTTTTAAATGTGCTTTATAAATAAAACTTGATTTGATTTATTTTGTTCTGCACAACTGTTGACAAGGTCCATAAGAGAAATAGATTTATTATGGCTAGCTTTTCCACATTTTAGTTGCAAGCTCTGGACATTTCTGTCCTTATAGAGCCTGTAAACTCAGCTGATGCAGGACTATTGTAAATGCATTGGCATCCAAACTAAACTCAAGTACAGGAACTGAGAAACCTTTGTGTGATTATCACAAAGATAATAGTTTCATTTAGAGAAGTAAATTCAAAGAAAGAAGCACAGTAATCCAAATGGAAAGGAAGGATGTGTTCCAACACCAAAAAACACTTTGATTCATAAGAAAAGTGCACATGTCCGTGGTGTAAATACTGACCTACTACAAGGCCACATTCGGGGCAGATCATGTCCCCTGCTCTGTAGTCCTCCACCAGGATGGCATCAGGGTGGTTGGGACACTGAACTCTGGGAAGGGCGAGGGCATCTCCGCTACAAAAGGCAGAACAACAACGGTTAAGTGATCAAACAGCAAGACACTACAAAGATGGGGAAAGGGAGGACATTGAAGAGGAACAAACAAAGGTTAGGGTTTAAACAGACAGAGTTCATGCTGAGGTCAGGACGCAAAACACACATTCATGCTAAAGTCTTCAAAGTTTGGTGACATAATGCAAATCCAAACTGCACATGTTATTTTCCACTTTTAAATACATATTTGACATAGTATAAATGTATTATTTCACCCTCTTTTGTCTGGCAGACATTAAAGAAAACAATATAATCAGTTAGTATGAATACATGATTAATAGTGCCAAAGTACAAAGTCAACATCAAACAACCTAAGGGCAAACAAATAATAGCAGCACAGAAGCATCAGCTTATTGGGAATTATTAAATTACTTTATTACATTATATAGTTTATTTGTATTTATTGTATGAAATGTTAAAACGTAAAAAATGCACATACGTTTTCTAGTGCGGCATAATAATGAAACATGGCTAAATATGTTCATATAGAGAACATTCTTCACATTAAAAAAGTATAAAAATAATATGTTTTATTATTGTTGCCCAAGTAGTTGAGGATTAATGACCCACCCATTTATTTATCGGTGGATTCAGATATAATCGAAACATAACGTGTACATGTTGATTCCTGGACTACATCCAACAAACAAAACGTCACGATGATGTGGCGATAGAAAAACACATTTTCAATGAGCGTCAAATCAGAGTATATCATTACTATCCTGCATTTACTCTTTACAATGTACACATGTGAGACACACGTTTCCCCGACAATGATTGTAACAAACCACTAGAAGGGAGTTAAAAGAAGTCAACACTTATAATGACTTAACGTGTATGTGACAAACTAAGGCAAGAGCTGAAATAGATGCCGACTAATGTTGCGTAAAAGCTGAATGTAGACAAAGTGTACAGGACAAAGGCATATGTGTTTACAGTTTGCCGGCAGTGACCGCTAGTGTCTATAATAATGCGAGTTCAGTACCTTTTAGTTTTAGCCTGAAACTACACAATCTCTTTCTGTTGTTGACGGCAAAGATAGCGAAAATATCTCTACGATAATAAGTGACGTTAAGGTTTAAATTATTAAAGCCATTATTCGCAATAACGGTGAGAGAAGGGCATAGCGATGAGAAACGGAGACACAGAAAGTGACTTCTGGCTACATCTACCCAGCTAGCTAGCTAATAAAGGTTAGCCGTTACCTAGCACAACACATCGTACAAACAACGGTACGAATAAGGACGTCATGTTTTTGGAATAGCACTAGCGTCTCCCATCATGTCTAAGTTGATACCCTTTACAAAGTACATTGTTGGAGTCACACACTAAGAATGGTGAGTTGTTCTATTTGGTAAAAGTTGCTACGCACCGGCTTGTCGACGCCATGTCACTCCTGAATGCTTGTCTGTGTCAAACAATTGAATGCGCCACCTTTATTTATAGCTTTTTTTGATCACGTGTCCGTTAGAGTACGGGGAGCCATTAGGCTCAAACTAGTCGAACTAACCTCCTGATTGTATAACAGTGTTTTGTTGACAAGAAGAGTGTCAAATACTTTTAAACACAACAATTGAAATATCTATGATTATACAATCACGTTTAACATTTGGTAATATTAAAATGTATTTTTACGGATTAATGTTAATAACTTTTCTAAGACATTTCCCGGAAATCAGGATACCTCTCAAAGGTGACATTTTAATGAGATAGTACAATGCCAATGCACGCAATACCAGTGACGTGATTATTGAATTACACCAATATGATTAAACCACAATATACGATCCATCGGTAAAGCTTTATTGAGTAAGTCTCTATTTTCCTGAGAAGGAACTCTGATATGTAATGCTAATTAAAGGAAGACATTTGAATTTCCTATAAAAAAAAAACAATTCCAACCCAATTACAATGTTATTCATTTTTGATTTAATATTTGAGACTTGATATATTAAATATTTTTGAATTCATCAAATCTCCCAATATTATTTTTAAATGAAGACATATTTGGAAAAAAATGTCAAGCTGACAGCTGCTGACTGAAGCTTTCTGAGTTATGCTGGCAATTGATTGGAATTAAATAATAGGAGGTGAACCAACTGTACCCTTTTTCATTATCCATATAAACTTTTCTTTGATCGTCTGTGTTAATGATGTAGAACATAAAATATATAATGATATGGACATGCCAAACAAAGCAATAATTACCAATCAAACCAGCAAAGGTATAAAGTAACAGAGACAAATGCAAACCCATTATTAGATAAGCAATAAAAACAACATAATTTCTTTCAATTTCTTATAACCAAGTTATATCAATGGGCAATTAAAATATCTGTAATGCAACAATAAATCCCACACTGTACATCACAAGTGATCCTAAGTTGTCTACTGATGAGTCACAATGCTGCTGTGATTTTGCTGTTGACAGTGGCAGCCTGTGTCTCTGTACCAATCTGTGACTGCTCTCTGCATCATACTTCCAAGTCTGTGAAGGAACCACACAGTGCCACAAAGACTCACTTGATCTTAGATGTTTTGGTAACAGAATGACCAATCTACATCTGTCTATACATTAATTAAATAATTTCAGTCATATAAACATGAATTACCTAATACTTTATGGTATGTGTGGAAACATTTAGGCTATACTCTTGTTTCTCTTTACCTATTTTTTTACAAATCTTCTTTGAATACTGGAATAAACTATCAACTGTTGTTATGCATATCATTACCTCATCAGTATCAGGGAAGAATGCCAGTGTGCGTCAGGACAACAGCAGGTGGAGCCAGATAAATAAGAGTGTGTCAGGCTCTGCAGTGACACTGGATGATGGTTACAGTGATTCGTTTTCATGCTTAACTCATTTATCATGATCTCTTTCAGGGGGGAAACATATAAGGATTCTTACATTTGAGATCATATTTATTTGAATAGTAAAATTAAAATGATCCTAGCCCAGAGTATAGACACATTTTGCTGCATATAGGCATCATCTTGGCAGTTAAAACCACCGTTTTAATACAACATGGGCTAAATAACAGTGACTTTTTCAGATTCCTTCAGGTACGCCACCACATAAACAGTTCTACGTATGATAGAGAATCAGAAGGCGTTCGAAAACAACCTACTGAACGTTTTTATTGGTGTATATGGTACAGATTCAGGGCTCAAAGTGATTTCAAGAATATATAAGGGACTCCAGGAGATTGAAAAAGCAAGTACCATATACATAAAACCAAAATGGGAAAGGGAAACTAACAGTTGTATTCCAGAGGAAATCCGGACCAACTATTGTGAATTCCAATGGAGAATATCAAGCTCCTCCTCATGGAGAGCGTTCGCCTGGAAGAGTCTCACTAGATTTATTATCACGTCCGCCCAGCAGTCTCACCGGCATGTTGGTTCTTCCAGCTGCTAGAGGAATTGTGGCTCCCAGGAAGCAAACCATTACCACGTGCTCTGGGAATAGTAAACACTTTTGGGCATAAGGTTTATAAAGAAATTGTCAACATATTTGGAACAAACATTTATTTTAATTGGGACGAACTCCTCTTTGGTTTCCTGCACTCAACATCCACAAATATTAAAACAAAATACTTATTTGGGATGTTGAGTGTAGCTGCCAGGAAAGCCATCACAAAGAAATGGCTCAAACTAAACAGCCCATCTATAGATGATTGGTACGATATAGTTTATGAAATCTTTGTATTGGAAAGAATAACTTTCTCTATGAGGCTCCAGGAACTTACATTTGAGGACATTTGGGAGAAATGGAAAGTGTATATTACCCCGATACGCCCTTCTTTTGTCTAACTTCTTGAATCTTTTATTTAAGGATCTATACTGTCAATGTTTTATATTGAAAAGAAAACACCCCATGTTCTTGTGTGCTTATTGTTGTTGTTTTGTCAAGAAAAAGAAAAAAGACGGACCACTCTGTAAAACGATTTAACTACATATGTATATGCACACTGAAGTTGAAATGTGATCCAAAAAATAAATAAAAAAATGTAAAAAATAAATAAATAAAACCACCGTCTTGCAAGTTTACACAGCTCGTACTGATGTGGACCTTTGAGTACAAAATGAGCAGTGATTGAATGTAATTAAATACATTACAGCAGTGTACTTACGCATAGATCTAATAAGAGTGCATTGACGTAGACACGTTGTGCCTCTTCACCTATACATCTCAGTTCTTACTCTTTTTCCTTACTGATGGTATGTCATTTGGTTGTGTGTGTAGACGGTGGAAGCAGGGAGAGGCATACACGTGCCTTGATCCCTGCCGAGTCGACGCACAACTGTTGATTGGTGTCAGTGCCAGAAACACTTTTTAGGAGCAATGCGCTCATGGTATAGATGTGGAGCATACATCTTAGTTCCTACTCTTTTCCCTCACCCTATCCTAAGGGAGTGCATGTACGTAGACATGTTGTGCCTCTCCACCTCTGTTCCTTACTTCTTACTTGCTACCCCTTTCCCTCAATCTATCCTAAGCAGTGGCGAGCCGTCAGGGCCCTCTAGGCCCTCTCTGAGGGCCTAAGATATTCTACAAAATAATATTTAAAAACATTAAAAATATATATATTTTTAGTTATATTTTTCATTAGTTTTACCAAAAGAACTTGATTTAATTGTATTTAAAATAACATTTCCAAAGAAATAAATCCTTCGAATCTGCCTATTCAGTTTCTGTTTGAATGTGAAGGGTTAAATGAAAGAAGCTCCTTTAGCCGTCTCTGCGAGTTACTGTGAAGATCTATCTACACAAAGCTGAAAACAGGCTTTTATTTTGGTGAAACTCGTGACAAATCAACTCTTTAGACATACATGGTTCTCACAGCAATGCAATAAAGATAACAACATATGAGGACCTTATTTAATATGATGCATTGCTGTCGATTAAACTGCCTAACAGTAAATAAAAGAGTTGAAATATGTACAACCATGAACATCTACAGTATATCAATCAACATACACATGAATGCGGAAGTATTTTTGATCCAGAATCATCATATACAGTAACACACTGACAGGGAACATTTGACTGCAATGAATGCTTTTACTTGAATACTTGAGGAACAACAGTGCAGATACTTTTATTCAAGTAAAGTTTGTAATGCAGGACTTTGAATTGAAGTAGAGTATTTTTTTCAGAGTACAAGTATTTCTGCTGCAGTAGTATCTTTATACTGATTAAGAAACAATGTTTAAGAAAATATGTGCACCACAAGCTATTATTTTTTTGTCTCTTTTTCACTCCAATGTTGCAACTGATTCTCGTCTGAAAAGTGTCCCTGAAAAGTATTCATTTTTCACATATCTTTAATGCACGTTTTCTGAAACTGATGATGTGGAACCTTTCCTGGACTGACTGTGACTGTGGAAAATAAAAGTTGCATATGTAGTTACAAGTCACAGCATGACAGACATATCAAAGGCAATCCAAACCAAATGAGGGCACGAAGAGGCCTGCTATCCAGGCAGAAGAGAAGTAGCACATGTTCTCAGTCTCTGTATTTGTCTTTGTCTTAAACACACATAAACACACACTCTGTACTCAGCAGCTGTTTATTGGTTTTCCAACAGCAACATCATATCACACTACATCATCGCTCTTCATTGCTCTTACTGTATTTCAAGTAACAACAATGGATCCACATGCAGGAACAGCCTGTGTGCAGGTCTGGAGTTTGTGTGTAATTTGACCCATACACACCAACACACATACACACAAACTCAGTGTTTATTTTGCTTTTGACCAAAGAAACAGGTTTGTTTGGGTTTGTTGACAGTTAGTGGCTGGTATGAATTTGAATTTTACTGTGTATTTTTTGCTACATCACAAGTGTATATCCGGTGTGCATTTAAACCACCAGCTAATGTTTGTGAATGTGACACTACCCTCTGTACTCTTTACAAATCAGAGAGGGAGGTCCACACTGAATTATTTATATCTCAATGGGCCAATTCTTAACGCACTGAGCTGGTTGCCAGGGGCGTCTGGGGTCCCCAGCTGTTGGCCCTGTCTCCCCACAGACAGGAAACCCCATACTGTCCGACCACTGCTCCTAGACTGCCAGTCAGTGTGACAACAAACCAAAGCATTACATCTTTATACCGCTTCCCTTCCCCCCTCACCACACCGACCACATGTCCTGCCACAGTCAGGTAAACTAGGTTAGGAAACAGATTCAGTGTCGATAACAATTGTTATTATGGTTGCTACCTTTTTTTTGCACCACTTGATCCTGTAACAACACTGTTGTCAAATAACACCTTGCAATATAAATGTTTTACTATTTACTGGTTCATTAATTTTATATGTTTCAACTACTTCTATAATGATGCCGATTATTTCTTCTTAATTGTATTTGTTTGATTTTATTTTATTAATATGTGCATGCCTCTTTATTTAAGGGTGCTATATTCTGCTCATGTTCAGGTTTATATTAGTATTTAGTGTCTCTGCTGTGACATGTCTCCATGCTTTAATGTTCAAAAAGCTTGGAGGCCATTGAATAAATTAAAGGTGGGGTAGGTAAGTTTGAGAAACCGGCTCGAGATACACTTTTTGTTATATTCCATGGAATGCTCTTAACATCCCGATAGCAATGAATATCTTAAGTGCTTTGACAAAAAATCCATAAAAAAATGTCATCTGTGGAAGCCGTAGTACTGTAAAAAGTACGACCAATCATCTGAGCAGGCCCGGCTAAAAATAACTGGATGGCCTACCTGCCTGTCAGCCTTCCATCTGTGCACAAACTTATCTCGTGCCCTCATTGGTCATGTGCGCGTTCGTGTGTGTTGGAGGAGGGGCTCTGTAAGGAAGTGGCAGATTTTTCCCGGTTGTGTATTTTCAAATTCTAGCAATCTCGAGCCGGTTTCTCCAAAATTACCTACCCCACCTTTAATATCAGCATTTATCATAGGCAAGGCAAGGCAAGGCAAGGCAAGGCAAGGCAAGGCAAGGCAAGGCAAGGCAAGGCAAGGCAAGGCAAGGCAAGGCAAGGCAAGGCAAGGCAAGGCAAGGCAAGGCAACACAAGGCAATTCAAAGTGCTTTACAAAAATGGAAGACATTAAGAAAATGGCATTTAAAATCAGTCATATCAAAACTATTGAACTTCTGATACTGTAAAAACCTAATAAAGAAGAGGGGTTTAAGCAAATGACAGAGAATTCATAATTTAAGTCAATGATATTTAACCTGCATGAACCTAAACAAAGATTTGCTTGCCTGGAATCAGTTTTTGTCTTTTATAAAAAGAGTTAACATGACATGGAGCCAGAGAAAGTATTGGCCCTTTTTAGGTACATCTCATATTTTAATAATAAAGGCTAAAGATATCCTTTTCAATGACTTAATATATATAGGCAAGCCAAATGGGCTCTTCATTTCTTATCTATTTTCTCCTGCTTTGGCTGCACCGGACACTTTGTTTTGTTTCAAGGTTTGATATGTTGCTCACTGATGGCTCCTTCAAGGCCTGGCGCTGTGCTGATGGACTTTTGAATCATTAATGTTATGAACGCTGCTTTCTTGTTTAGTCTTTGCTGTTTTATTGATTGCGTATGCACTTTTGTCTATTGTAAATTTCCTCAAATAATCAATTAGATGTTTGGTCGATAACATCTCAGAAAATGGTGGAAAACGTCTTGCAAAATATGAATATTTCTCAAAAGTATTCTCTTTCCTGGCATAAAGGAATAAAGAAACCAGACAATAATCACATTTAAAAAGCTGGAATTCAGATATATGTTTTTAATTTACTCTTTAGTGTTTTATCGTCAAAATACTTGCCGGCTAATTTAAAAGTCGATTTATTTTGTAACTCCAAAAAGAAACCTGACAAATATTGGTTTTGCAACAAGTTAGGAAAGGTTTCACTGTAACTGTCTGAAAATGAGTTAAGTGTGTTTACATCCACTACTTTCTTATTGACTTTGTCCACCCTGCCTTTGTTTGGGATTCATTAGGGAAGCCACTATGAACTCAGCTATACAAACTGCCTCACTCAAGTCTGAACAAACATTATTGCGAAAACATCTCCATAGAACAGAACACAGACAATGATCAGTGTAATCATTCTGCATGTGGTCACACACCACCACCACCACATCTGATCTTTTAACCCTGGCAGACTATCGCACAAAACGCCCCACTGCCTGCTCTTCTTTCTTTCCTTCTTTCTTTTTTTTCTCTTCCTCTCAAAGTACAGGAGTAGCGTGAGCGAGAACAGTGTGCCAGCAGCCAGCAGCCCAGGACCGGTTGAAACCTGTATAGGGTTGCAACTGAGGAGACATTTCCTCCACCCTGTGCATCATCAACCAAATCCAGAAAGAGCTGGATATGATGCATGACTTCAGCACTCAACTGCTGAGTTTATCAATACCCATAATATAGATAGAAAGATGGATAGATATATATATACATACATATATAGATAAACAGTGTTGCCCTATGGTAATAACATGGTATATGGTAATTACTGTTTCGTGTAACTGTAACAAAATAAGACATCCTGTCCAACACGTGGCACGTGCACAAAAGGCACATGTCAGAAGTCTTATAATTAGTCAGCTAAGTTCTTTCAACACCACGATGCATTTGTGGTGTCTGCTGCTGCTACTCTGAAACAAAGAGGGGGAAGCAGATGCTGCGTTCAATTCCCGCTGGAAAGTCGGTAAATAAAGGAGCTCGGCTTTCAGTTGGGAGGCCGTGGAGAGTATGCTCTTGAGGTTTTTGGTCGGTCGTGCTTTTCATTTGTTTCACTTGCTTGATACCTGCTTTAGTTATATTATAAAAGGCATTTTAATAGTGACACTTTGTACAAAAGTAAATATAACCCCATTGAACCCGACCCAATATGTAAGCATGATTGAGTTACATTATAGCTTAGTGCCTTATGCAAACCTTGGGGGAAAGCATTTGCGTGTTCACACCTATTTGTGTTTGCTTCTTGTTTTTTAGAGGGGGGTCTAATTTCTGCTAAGTAATGAAAGGATAGTGGCTATATTTACCACTTCATAAACAAATGTAAATCCACAAATAATTGCTCGTACATAGGGTTGGGGAAAATAATAACGTTAAGATATTTCCTTCGTCAGAGATGTGCGAACGTTAATATAAACGTAGAAATACAAGGTAGAAATTATTTGCATCATTATAAAAGTAAGTGAAACATTAATTAATGCAATAGCAGCCAAATAACACCAGTAAATATATTGCCAGGTGTTATCATAAACCGGTCTTTGTTACAGTATTTATAAAAAAAACGTAGCAACTAGTAATAACAATCGTTATCCGTTATTTTTATATTATTTTCAGGCCAGCCGTGGGCTGTTTAACCTTCTCCCACACGCCCTGAACGCAGCACAGATAAGCTCCAGGGCGGTGTCTTCGGGAAGTTGCCGGAATGTCATCCTCCAATGAGAGGCTCGCATAACACCCACATCAGCGGTCTGAGCGGCTCCATGTTGGATCTGCCTGCTCTTAGAAATACATTGGTGCTCTGTCAATCCGTCTGTCTGCGCGTATTGTCTGACACACGGCCGGGCAGCCGGCTCTGCTCCCGGGCTCAGGTAGGAGGGATGTAGCCGACAGACCGCGCTGTCACCACCAAATATTCCTCGGAGCTTTTTGTTCCATAAAACCGGCGTCATTCCCGCACTTGTGAGCGGGGCTGAGAAACCAGGTTAGAGGCGCACCTGAACAACGGAGCGAAAAGTGGCATGCAGGCGGTGGAAGAAATAATTGGATTGAGATAACGCCTCGCAGGCAGTAAGTGTATTTTCCGTTACCGTATGTTTTAATTGTTTACTTTTAACTGTAATATTCAATAACCTGATTGATATTCCGAGCAGATAACGCTTTCCAGATAAGAAACTGGTTACCTGAGTGTTTTACGGCGGCGGCACATGCTGATTCTCAATTTAACATGTTTCAACAAGTCACATGACCCAGTACCCAACTGATAATAACTGCGCACTCACGTGAAGGGAAAAGTCAAGCGGTTCATCATTCTGGGACAGACATGTCTTATTTCCTCTTTTGGTTGAATAGTCTTCACTTAACACAAAAAAATGCATAGTCTACAGCCTGTCTTTCAGCAACCTGTTTCCTGTCTGTCTGGAATCTAACCCCCAGAACTGGTTTCAACTTAGTTTACCCTAAACTCAACATTTGTCGTATGTAATTACACTTAACACGCACTACACTGGCTGCCATCACGTGGTGAGGTCAGTTGTATGTAGTTTATCTGCACAGGGCAGCAGGGACATGGCACTGCTGCCAGGGTGCCATGTGGTAAGGGGCCCCTCCCTGTCCTGGGGGGGGCCACCACACTAAGCTTTGTTCTTTTTTCACATAGCAGCCTGTTAAGATGTGTTACCTCTGCTAAGTGTGATGAGTTGGGGGAGGGTTGATGATTATAAAGCACTGGAGCTCAACTTTGTCACCCTTGCGGTACACAAACACCACCTGCACTGCCGCAAGATAAATCATTAAGCATGTCAAATATTATTCAGCCATCTGTCATTTAATTATTCACCCTCATAACATGTCAAAAAGAACATCCACCCCTACTTTGAAACTCTCAATAATAATAGCATTCACTCAAAATAAAAACATGAAGTGATGACACGCTATCATGAATCTTATTTTGCAGTGAAGCAACATCAGAGTGTAACAGATACAAAAAAATGGTTTGTTCTTACCTATCCCAAGAAACAAAAATAGTCTATAAATAGATAAATAAATGAAGCAAAATATTACCTGTTAGAAGTTTATAACATATATCTTGTTTCAGCATATAAAATGGTGGTGCAAAAAGACCAAAAATATCTGAGGTTATTTAGAAGCCCTGTTGCCATCCCATAGTTTGTCCAGCAGAAAACAGATGACTTGCATGTTCCTGAAAACAAAAGGTAACTTAACCTGTTTAGCCCTGAGCCTGTTTTTCAGAGGCCTGTACTACGAAGCTGGTTCAACATAACCTGGATATGTTTGAGTTAGTCGGTTGGCCTAATCCAAAACGTACGCGCTCTCGCTAAGCGGTCCTACGACGTGGGTTATCAAGTGGATTGCTCAAGCCAGCCGTGTCCTATCTAGTTAGATGCGTGTTCACATGAAAGGGGTGGTATTTGGAGCATTCGACCAATAACAAAAATGGACAAGCGTACTGACAGCGCAGCGCGTCATACTTCCTGAATGAAAAGTCAACTATAATATTAGACAAATATGAAGGCTTTCTTAACGCTAATGTTATAATAGTCAGATTGCTCTGAAGATGGGAGGTGATATTCTATTAATTTTCACGTTCACACAGTCGGTGATTTTTGCCGGCCGTCTTTCCTGCAACGGCAGTTTTTCTGTATTTCCTTTCTCCTGTAATATGACTTGATCGCTTTAAACTCCGCACACTGAGCTCTGATTGGTCAGCAGGCGGTGCTTTCACTGAGTTGATCTCTTAGCCTGCAACCTAACCTGCTCCGGACCAGGTTAGCCGCTCAGCATAAGTTACCATGGAGATCTAGCCCGCTAAAAAGAGAACCAGCGTCGTAGGACCGGAAACCCCGAGTTTCCCCTGAAGTCAGCCGGCTAAGCGAAAATCCGGCTTCGTAGTACAGGCCTCAGGTCTCAGGCTCAAAAATGACATTCCCAGAACAAATGACCATATCTTCACTTCTAAAAGGGGTAAATTAATAATCTTTTTTCTCAAAGCAAGGTTACATCTGTGAGTTGGATGTAGAAGTGTCGGAATCAATATAGATGTCTTTATTTTAAAGTAAATTCAGATTGAACATATTAAAAAAATGTAAATTTTAGTGTCCGTCCAAAAAAAAAAAATTACTTGTGGTGAAAACTACCCTTGAATGATGGGATAGTAGACTAAAAGCTTTAGGAATCCAAACTATAACATATAATAAGTACCCTGTATCAAGATTGATGCAAAACAAGTGAAGTTTGACCTTTTTAGAAAAATAAACTCACTTCTGGGGTCATTTGAGTGCATTTTCCATATCTCTGGCCTCCCTCGTTCGATTTTGATGATTGACATCTCTTTTTAACCGTTAGAGCCAATATAATCGAGGGGAAGTTCCTAAAATCCATCTAAACATTACCCATTGGTGAATGAGTGATGCACAGCCAGAATGCTCCGGAACCGGAAGCTGCGATACACTCTGGTGGCTACCATTAGCAGCTAATATAAAATCTCCGATTTTTACATAAAAATGTAATTATGGATTATCAATACTTTTTTCAAAGTGACACAGACACATTGGATTAACCATTGGATTAACCTTCAGCCACGTTTTTATCGTTTTAATGCCATTGGACACGACTTTTGATCAGAATAACAGCTAAAGTGAGACAATCTCCCGTGTTTGCTCCGTAATGTTACGTGTTGTGATGTCTGTGTTTGCTTCCCCTGTCGCGAGTTCTTATCGCTCAGTGATGATACTAATACCTATATAATCTGTGGAATCTCAGTTTTAATCTGATATCTTGTATGTGCAGTTACGATAAGTAATAAGGGTATTTTTACCTTGAGTTCTGTGCTAAGTGCGTTAGCATTTTTCCGCTCAGGGGTCATTTAGACGCTTCTTATGAGACTTGTGTTTTGTTTTGGTAAAAATGGTTCATATTGTCAACTAGCTGAGTTTCTTCCCGTTAATCTGGTATGACACATTAATAGGTTTTTAAATATTAAGAAGCCCTGAAAAGAAAACCTGAAGCCCCCTCTACCGGGGGCTCTCGGGCTTAACAGGCTTATGGCGCATTTCCACTACACGGCCTCGCTCTGTATGGCTATGACTGACTCACTTCATGGCGCATTTCCATTACAGTTTAGGAACTGGGGTAGTATCTATAGTAACGCAGTGTAGGCGTGACGTCATCTTCAATGAGAACCCCAGAAAAACAACACAGCCGTTAGCTGTTAGCACTCAAGCTCACAGCTCCTCATATCTGTTCAGAAACTAGACAAAAGTTAAACAAGTACAAACCACAGACTGTCTGTGTCATGGTGAATACAGTCGCTGCTTTATTTATGTCTGTATAGGCCGTTGTTGTGAGTGTGGACGGTCGGAGCATATATTGCGTTAGCTTAGCCAATCTCCATTTAGAAAACACGCATTTTAAAAGGTTTTTCGCCTGCCGTCTGTCTGCAGACTTGTCAAAGCATTAATTCATGGTTTTTACTAACCGGTATCAGTATGTTGTTACTTCGGCATCCTTTTGAAACGTGTATTACAATTAAATCACGGTCAAATATGTTCATCTTGTTGTAGTTGTAGCCCCCTTGCCAGCGATTCTCTCTCTAGTTTAGCATACTCAGCCCGACTCAGCCTGGTTGTTCCTGGCCCTAGAACCACGATTTTATGGGGCCAGAAAAACTGTGAATTAGGACCCGCTAGCCGGTACTAGGCCAAGTGGAAACACAACAAAAAACGGGCCGCTGACGTCACAGCTCTCTTAAACGGTGCTCCGCGCTGCAGTGGAAACGCGTCATTAGTATAACATAGTAGTAATACCCAAAACTGGGAAATCTTGGTCTTGATATGGATAGCCTGAGACATAGGTTATTGCATTTTTTTTGGCTTATTATGCCAATATAAGCAGATATTTGTTACATAATTAGGTTACATTTGTTATCTGGATCTAAGAAATGTGGTGAACATTTTTTACAAAAAAGTTCTCAATGCTATATAAATGAAAATCAATGAGATGGTGACCCAAATAGTCTCTAAATAAAAATAAGAAGTATCAGAAGTAAGTATCTCTGGATATAGTAATTTCTTACATTTAGGCTGATACGAAATATCCATAATAAATTTAGGTCAGCTGATTATGATTAATTTTTAAATGGTCTTCTTAAATTATTCATACATATAAGGTGTAATTTATGTGCATTACATTTTAATGAGCCTACATGTGACATAGGGAAGGAAGCCGGATCTGAGTGGTTTGTTGAATCACATGTGGTCTGACCAAGGCAGCCCATAACAAACAGACTTTCCTTCTTTGTCTGTTGGTAGGCACTTCAATTAACATAAAGGGAAATGCACTATGTATACGCACATGCACTGAAGAAGAGAATCTTTCATGATATATGTCCCATCTCTGAAATACAATTGCTTTCATGTGCAAGAAAGCCCTACCTTTTTAAAAAGCCCTATTCTGTTTTTTTCTAAACCTCTCTAAAAAGGTCAAATCTCACTTGTTTTGCATCAATCTTGATACAGGGTACTTCCTAAAGCTTTTAGTCTACTATCCCATCATTCAAGGGTGGTTTTCACTACAAGTAATGTTTTATTTTTGGACGGACACAATCATTTACATTTTTTTAATATGTTCAATCTGAATTTAATTTAAAATAAAAAAAATCTATATTGATTCTGAATTCTCTACATCCAACTCACAGGTGTATCATTGCTTTGAGAAAAAAGATTATTAATTTTCCCCTTTTAGAAGTGAAGATATAGTCATTTGTTCTGGGAATGTCATTTTCGAGCCTGAGGCCTGAAAAACAGGCTCGGGCTTAACAGGTTAAATAACTACAGCTGAATTATGACCTGTTAACTTGTCAAAAAAAAGCCTGGTCCCTTGGCATCCCTGGTGTCAACAACTGGGCGTCACCCTCAAACTGAAATGCATATTATGTTATGGCAAATTCTATCATTCGTTTATCATTTTATTCTTTTTGGGGATTTCTAATCTAAAATTCATGATAAAGTGCAAACCATCATTGTAGTAAAAGTAAGATGAATTTTGACCAAACAGACAAAGTATCTTCTAGATTAAAAAAAATCGAACATTAATACATAATAAGGTAAAATCAAATATATATTTCCTTTGTAGAAATTCTCCAAATCCAGCTTTCTTACTTGCAATGATAACCTGCTTTTGGTAATGCAGTTCAATGTGCCTTAGTATGCAGTATCAAATATATTAATATTGTTGAACTTTTGTGATGTTAATTACAGGTCCAAAAACAACAAATGATCAAGATGGACAGATAATCATTTATTTATTTATTGCTTAACACAATTATTTCATTGTGGATTTAGGGGATTAGAGGTAGGAAACAGATAAAAGAATAACCAAATGAAAGCCTCCTCCACTAAATGAGAAAAAGGCAATTCACTAAATGAAACACACATGTGCAAAACATCTTATTGAGTCAGAACAGTTGGTGGACATCACATAACTGTCTTCTCTATTTCCTCTCTATTCCAGTAACAGCCTGCTGTAGTAATCTGCTTAAACATCATTAACACATAACTGAATGAAAGTAGACTGCAAAGTGAGAGTTGGCACTCACAGATAAAAGGCTGGAGTTTACAGTGATACTATCGTCACATCCACAGTGTTTGTATCATAGAAACTCATGTCGAACGTTATTTCTATTTTCATTTTCATTTCCGTAAAGCTTACTCAATGGGACTGGGTATCATTTTAAAGATAGTTATTGACCATTTCAGATATTGGTCATCTAAACGGAGGGATAAGGGCAGCCACTAGCGATTATTTTAATTTTATAATCTTTTGTTGATACATTTTTCTTGATTAATCATGGCTCTATAAAATGTCTGAAAACTGTGACAAGTTAAGGTTTATAGGTGGTGTTTTAAGATATCATATTTGATCTGACCCACTTCCAAAGCCAAAGGCATTTGGATAACAATCATAGAAAAACATAGAAAAGCGGTGAACTTGGAAATAGAGCATTTATTGAAATGTTTTGCTTAACAATTACAATTACTAGGGATGCTCCGATCAGGGTTTTTGGGGCCGATCACCGGAATCAGAATCGGCCGATACCGATCGCCGATCCGATCATAGGGTGGGTGGGGGCTATGGGGATCTTCCATATAAAGTGATGTTTAAAACTCAGTTAATGGGGCTCATTTTTATATTGCTTCAGTTTATAATCGTAACTTTGGATAATAACACGGGAGAAATGAGCGGAAGCGCTCTCTTTTCCTCTCTCCCCCTCCCTCCCTCTCTCTCCTGACAGCCTGTCAGTATCTCATGCTGCTCACTGTTCCAGTAATGAGTGACCCGACAGTGAAGAATAAATATATTTATAACTAGTTTAGCTTGTTCCAGAGGTAGATAAAATAGCTAAGTGTGTTAGGTCTAACTCTTAGTGAGTGTTTTGCTCCGCTCACATGCTGAAACTATATATTGTCCAACCCTTGTACTAACTGTTAATGCTAAAACAACTAGAATGGATGAACTGACTCTCCTCTGTTTGTTGCAGTGATGTTCACGCTCACTGAGGTTGCATCCCTGAATGACATCCAGCCGACGTACCGCATCCTGAAGCCATGGTGGGACGTCTTCATGGACTACCTGGGGCTGGTCATGCTCATGCTGGCCATATTCGCCATGACCATGCAGATCACCAAGGACCAGGTGGCTTGCCTTCCTTGTCTCGAGGAACCGGACGAGGCTTCGGGGGCGAAGCCTAATTCGTTCACGCAGCAGAGTGCACAGAATGGGGCTTCAGCAGCAGCCCCCGTATCAACATCCCTACCCCTAGTCACTAAGGCCATGCCGGACGAAATGGCCCATGAGATCCACGTCACACACCAATACAATCAACCTGAACCGACAGGGGTCAGGACCAACCTGGACTACCAACAATATATCTTCATCAACCAAATATGTTACCATGTTGCCTTGCCCTGGTATTCCAAGTACTTTCCTTACCTCACCCTCATCCACACCATTGTTCTCATGGTCAGTAGCAACTTCTGGTTCAAATACCCCAAAACCAGCTCAAAGATTGAGCACTTTGTTTCAATTCTAGGTAGATGTTTTGAGTCTCCCTGGACTACGAAGGCTTTGTCTGAGACAGCTTGTGAGGACTCTGAGGAGAACAAACAGCGGTTGACAGGCACCTCCATGGCCCAGAAACATGTATCTTTAGAGGGGAAGGACGAAAGCACAAATGTGAACTCCTCCACACCCATGATTGGGGTGAAGTTCTCTGCAGATAAGCCCATCGCAGAGGTCCCGAGCTGTATGACAATCCTGGACAAAAAAGACGGAGAGCAGGCCAAAGCCCTGTTCGAGAAAGTACGAAAATTTCGAGCTCATGTGGAGGACAGTGACTTTATCTACAAGCTTTACGTAGCGCAGACTATCGTCAAAACGGTCAAGTTTATTTTGATATTATCCTACACTTCTACCTTTTTGGCTAAAATACATTTTAAGCACGATTGTGAACCCGATATTAAGCAGCTAACTGGATACCGAAAGTTCTTCTGTACTCACAACATGGCTTTCATGCTGAACAAGCTGCTCATTAGCTACATGGCTTTAATCTTGATCTACGGGATGGCTTGCTTGTACTCTCTCTTCTGGGTGTTTCGAAGACCGCTCAAAGAGTACTCATTCGAGAAGGTCCGTGAAGAGAGCAGCTTTAGTGACATTCCTGACGTCAAAAATGACTTTGCATTCCTCTTACACATGGTTGACCAGTATGACCAACTCTACTCCAAACGCTTTGGGGTCTTCTTGTCCGAGGTCAGTGAAAACAAGCTGAGGGAGATCAGCCTTAATCACGAGTGGACCGTTGAAAAACTGAGGCAGCTTGTGATCCGTAACGCAATGGACCAGCAGGAGCTGCACCTTTTCATGCTCTCTGGTCTTCCCAATGCGGTGTTTGACCTAACGGACCTGGAAGTGCTGAAACTGGAGCTCATTCCTGATGTGAGATTCTCTGCGAAGGTCTCCCAAATGAGCAGTCTACTGGAGCTGCATCTCCTGCACTGTCCGGCCAAAGTAGAGCAAAACGGCTTTGCTTTCCTCCGGGATCATCTCCGCTGCCTTCACGTCAAGTTCACTGATGTTGCAGAGATCCCGGGGTGGGTGTACTTGCTGAGGAGTTTGAGGGAGCTCAACCTCATCGGCAACTTGAGCTCTGAAAATAACAAAATGATCGGGCTAGAGTCCATGCGAGATTTGAGGCATTTAAAGACATTATGCTTGAAGAGCAACCTCACAAAAATGCCCACAAACATAACAGAGCTTTCACCACATCTGATTAAGCTAGTGGTGCACAATGATGGTACTAAACTTGTGGTACTGAATAGTCTGAAAAAGATGACAAATCTAATTGAACTGGAGCTGCACACGTGCGAACTCGAGAGGATTCCCCACGCTATTTTCAGCTTGACCAACCTGCAGGAGCTCGACCTTAAATCGAACAACATCCGAACCATAGAAGAGATCATCAGCTTCCAGCACCTCAAGAGGCTGACGTGCCTCAAACTGTGGCACAACAAAATCATCACCATCCCTTCCTCCATCGCCCAAGTCAAGTCTCTGGAGTCTCTCCACCTGTCCCACAATAAACTGGAGACCCTGCCCCCGGCCCTGTTCACGCTCCCTAAGCTGCGGCACTTGGATGTGGGCCACAACTCCATCACAGTGCTCCCTCCGGACGTGGGCCTCCTCCACAATCTCCAGCACTTAGCCATCAACTCCAACAAGCTGGAGGTGCTGCCCAAGCCTCTGTTCAGATGCACCAAGCTCAAGGCGCTGTGTTTGGGGAACAACGCGCTCACCGTGCTGCCGGAGACGGTGGGTCAGCTGGTGCAGCTCAATCAGCTGGAGCTGAGAGGAAACTGCCTGGACAGACTGCCTGTGCAGCTGGGAAACTGCCGCCTGCTGCGTAAAAGCGGCCTTGTGGTGGAGGACCATCTCTTTGAAGCACTGCCTGTGGAAGTGAAGGAGAACATCAGCAGAGAGAACAACGTGTCGTTTACCAGTGGCTTATAGCACACAAAGCATGACAAGCTTGCATAATGGATGTACGAGTAAATTCTTAATGTGTGTTCACACCGGACGCGAAGCAAATCTTTTGTGCGTCGTGATTACATGTTAAATCAGTGAGCACACTTGCAAAAGCATTAATTAGGTTTTTACTAACCAATATCAGTATATTGTTATTACTGCGTCATTTTGATACGTCTATTTAAATTAAATCAAGGCAAAATATGTTAATTTCGTTGTTGTTGGTAACTACATGAAGATAAGCCCCGCCTCCTCGCCAGTGGTATAGTTTGAGTAACGCTAGTAAACACAAATGATGCTGCGGTCAAACTCGCAAGAGTAACGTGATGCGGTTCTTCGCTTGGCGTCCGGTGTGAATGCATATATATATATATATATATACATCGTGATATATATATATATATATATATATATATGTATATGTATATGTATATGTATATGTATATGTATATGTATATGTATATGTATATATGTATATATATGTATATGTATATATATATATATATATATATATATATATATAAATAAATAAATAAATAAAATGGTACAGAATGCTTTTCTTGTTGCTGAGTATGTAATTCAGCAACTTTTATGGCATTAAGCTTTTTTTTTCATAGCTTTTGAGTAATAAAACATTTTGCTTCTGTATGTTATACTCTATAGACCAAAACTGTTCACTCCAATGACACAGTATGTAGATTTATCATTATTGTTTTAGGTACTCAGGTATAATTGTAACCATGGGGAACAATCTTTTTTGCCTTAACTGCTGCTACTTTTTTTTTTTTAACAGTGAGGGCTTTCACAAACAAAAAGGCCAAAAATGAATATTTCATGTTTTCTTGTCAGTTTTTCATACAAAGACACTTCAATGTAAGGGGACACAATGAAACACTTTTTTCTTAGTAGTTGTTTGAAATCATGTAACCTTTATTTTCCTCCATGTCTTGTAGCCAACCGATCGAGTTTAGAGTTGTGAAACTCAGGTGGAGACTAAGCACCAGAATTGACCCTTTACCTTACTTGTGTAGAGATTGTATACTAAAGGCTTATAGTAATTCATTTGCACATTGAAAACTTAATGATTTAAAGATCGGTGAATGTCCTTTCTGATAACATGTCCCAAGACCAACGTGAGCTGATAAAGGGAACTCTGTTGACTGTCTTATTTTTTTAATCATACTTTGAAATTTGAAATGTGTAATAAAAACTGCACACAGGTAAAACTGATTATTTAACAGATTCTTGTAATGACGTTAAACAATTTCTGCCTTTTAATGTATTTCTGCGTACACCTATATATATATATATATATATATATACAGTATTTATTCTTCAGAGCTGCTGTACCACCTTTGAGATCCTGCTCAAAGTTCACACCTTTATGGCACAATAAAACAAGATTTTAGAATGATGTCTAATTATTATTCAGCTACTTGGTGCACTCTGCTCAGCACCATAGCTGAAAGGGAAGTGAATAAATCAAGTGAGTTAATCTGAAAAATTCCTTTTGACTCATAGCAAGAAATACAGGAGGTGGAACTAATAACATTAACAAGCCTCTGTCTCAGGCATTATTGCAAAGCAGCAATTAATCATCTTATTAGTAACACTTCTGTTTGATGGTAGTTCCTTTATTTCCTGTCAACAAAATAAGACATTTTGCTCATTTCCTCTTTTGGCTTTGTTGGCTAAATTCGGCCGCTGATCGTTTTTTAAACTGCCCAAAATGAGAAAAAAATTATATATATATATATAGAAAAGGGCCCGAAATTCTCTTGGCACTTCAACCAATATTTTACTGATAGTTACATCTTAATATTAGATGTACACATTTACATACCCATATTAATTGTCATCTTTGGAGAGGGCACTAGATCAGAAACCAATATATGGCCATTTCTGCCAAGTCTGCACTTAAGCTGTGCACTATATTACAGTTTAAAAGTATATACATAATTTAAAGATACAGAATACTTTTTGTAATATGAAGGCACAGCAATTACATGTAAAACTTTAAACTGTTAAGTGTTGCAAAGTTATTTTGATAGAAAATGAATTAATTTGGCGGGGTTCCTGGTCTATAAAACTGATTTTCTTGCAATGTAACTGGTTGAAATTACAGTTTTTACTATAGTTTGGACCAAGACTCCTTATATTTTTTCTGTATGGACCATGATCAAAAAGTTTGCCCTCCCTGCTTTAGGGGCTCCATACAAAGGCCCCTAAGCCAACATTCACAGAGAATAGAATGTTCCCAACCATACAATGAACATTAAGGTTTAGAAATGTGAGCATATCAGTCCACGTGATGCGTTTCCAGGTCACTGATAGTAGCGGTAGGGTAGGCTTAACCCACATAATCCATAATCTGTTTCACCTGGTGTCTAATGTTAACATGATAAAGATAGATAATTCATGTGTTCATCCATCCATATGATCCTACAGAAGATATGTCAAATTAAGACTCCCTCCTGCCCATACATGGGTCGGCTTTTACTGGAGACCTGATGATCTTCTGCAAACCTGTAACATTAGTTAGTGAGTGAGTCGTGGTGAGGAGGAAACAATAACTTGACTGTTTCTGTTGTGATCTTGTCATTTGTTTTACAGGTTTCAACATAGGGTTTTTTCTTTTTATAGTAACTTTAAACACTTAACCATATGAGCTTGTATGATGTCAGCATAAGATCTGTAATGGCTTTCAACATTTTGTCAGTTTTAGCAAAACTATGATTTATGCTAAAGCCCCTAAGTCTGTGGTAATTTAGTTCACAACAAATGCATATAGCAATATACAGAATGCAAGACAGATAATTATTAATGTTTTACTGAAGTAGTACTTATTTACAAGCATTTATTTTTTATTGGACACACTTAATCTGGGTCCTTATTCAGGAACAAGGAAAGCCTCAGAATTAGGATTTACTACGTGTCAACTGGTTTAATGCTTCTTATTTAAAATATATCGTTTGCTAAGCTTTATTACCTAAAGTTGAAATCCTTTCTTCTGGAGGAACCACTATGTCTATAATTTCCTTAACTTCATTAGGCCTATGCAGCCAATAACTTTATTATAACAGTTTTAGTGACTACAAAACATAATGAACATGAACAAATCCATTTGGAGGTCTATATGATTCCCCTCTTAATGGTATTTGGAAAACAATTGTAATGTACAGAAGAATCTCCTCTTGCAGTATGCTGCCATCTGTCGGCAGGTGAATGTTTACCTGCTGTTTGTAGGTGAACTAGCTTCACTTCTCACTCATTCTAATTCATTTACTTTCCCACAAAACAACCACATGATGAACCGACAGAGTAAAACTCCACCAAACCTTTCAGCTAAAGGTGCTAAAGCAGCAGCTCCAGCCTTCAAACAGCAGCCGCAGCAGCCTGGAAGGTAACTTTAGCCCAGTGCTTCACTACACTAAACGTTAGCTTAGCAACGCTAATATATCTGAGAAAGTGTTCCGGTTAACAATGGCGTGCAATGTTGCTGGTTTGAATAGTTGGGAAACTGAGGTTGCATGCAATTATTATTAACCGCTACTTCGTATATTTTTTAGCAATAAACTGATATGTGTGTAGCTATGTGGCTAAAGCTAACAACACAACATGCTAAGCCAGTTTAGTTTGCTAGCCTAACTTGTTGAAGTTAGCACAGATAAAACACCATTCTGCATTTACCTTGCAAAATGCAGGTTTTGTGACGTATTATTTTACTGTTTTATTTACTTAGTCTTTAGTTTTGTGCTAATTGTTCACGTTGTCATCTGTTTTCTGTGATAAATAGAATACCCCAGGAGTTCAAAGAAGCTATGCTTCACATCCCAGTGAAGCCAGCAGTCAACTCACAGCCGACATTTGCTACGGCTGCTAACGCAAAACCAGCAAAGAAACGTCCAGGTAACTTCAATGAACACACTTAGAAACAGGCACACAAGACGAGTTTAATTACTTGGAGTTTACATAAAAACGAACTATTTAGTATATCATGCTGCTGTATTTTGTTTACTGATATAACCATTCACTGATTTGATTCCTTACTTTATGATTATTTTTGCAGACAGTAAATCATCAAGTGAATGTTTATTTTTATTTTTTTAAATATATGTTTTGAATGTTATCACAGGGCATGAGGGACATTGGAGAGTGACATGCAACAAAGTTTCCCACTTGCACTTTAATCCCTAGGCCACTACATTGCCCCAGTCTGTATTTTATCTTTAGTCAGAGTGATTGTATTTGAGAGATAATACAGTGCAGCGCTTTAAAAAACACTCTGCACGTATACTGCTAAAGCATGTCATAATTTTGGTTCTAAAAAGATATCAAGGGAAACCAGTCAGCTGTAGGAAAAGCTATTTCTGGGTTCCTTTTTCCATTTTCATATTTGGGGATTACTGTGTTCTTTTGTACCTGTTATAAACAAACAACTTCACAATACTTTATTCACATTTTTATTTTAACAAATATGTACCCTCTAACAAATATTGTGCTTCCTGCGATTGGAATATTACACTACTCTAGATGGCAATTATGATAACATGTTGCTTAATTGTGCAGGCCTAACCCAGTCTGTCAAAAATAAATGATGATCATTGTTATTCATATTTATATCATACAGCGCACACCTCTGTTGATAAATGGAAGTCTTCGTTTCAACCATTAGGAGATGAAAATGACTCTATGGACGAAAGCAATGAAGGTTCACGAAGGTAAGCAGCCAGTGATTTCTACTGTAAACTGACAAAGTGTCAGGTAGAAAGTGATGTTTCCTGTAGCCACAATCCAGGACATCAAACATGTCAACCTTTGACTTTTTCTTGTTGTGACTTAATTGTTGAAACGTGGAACAGTTTCACTTAATGCGCACAACCTCCTATTCGTTTTTTCTCATTCTAGAAAAAGTAATTTTATTTAATTGTTTTCCCCCAACAGCACATAACGTTTTTTTAACACATTCATAGTGTATGTAAACATTAAGTGGTTAATAGTATCATGTCCTTACAGAAGATATAGTGCTGCAACTGACCATTATTTATATTATTCATTAATCGGTCCATTACTTTCTAGAATAAATGTTTGGTTTTAAATGTCAGTAAATATATGTCTATCTCAGTTTCTCAAAGTCCAGGGTGATGTCTTCAAATGTGTTGTTTTGTCATTCCAAAACCCAAAGGTTTTCACAAAGCAATGTATGCTGGAAACAGCATACATTTAAGGATTCATCACTTTCGATAACTATCCAACCATAGCAAATCTAATATGATCTAGCTAATAGTAAATTGCATTCAACAAACACACTAACCCTTCTTTGTTCTCCCCCAGGGCTGAGATTTATGATCCTTACGATCCCGTCTCGTCAGACTCTGAGCACGAGATGCTACAAGCCCAAAACCGTAACCAGTCACCCCCGGATCAGGACAACCAACTGGAACATCAGCATTTGTCTCCAGGTCAAGACTGCCAGAAAAAACGCCGCTTTGCCTCAACCTTCATTGAGTCAGTGGGCATCGACATGCAGGACTTGAGCCCTGAAACTGGACCCAGCGAGGGTCGAGATCTCAGTCCAGATCATAGACCACCAGATCATAGACTACCTGACCATAGACTGCCTGAACGACAGGCTTATAGCCCCAGCACTGAATCACATGACATTTCAGGTTATGACTCCATGAGAAGACATCTGGACCACAGAGTGGACAGCCCTGACCGGTTCATTCACGACTCCTCCACCCAACACTTTCCTCCATCCTATGGAGAACAGCGGACCAACGGGGAGGAGACGATCACAGTCCCAGAATACATGAGAGAGGTATCAATAATAAAACTCAACAACCTGCAATGTTTGTTTTCTGAAGGTTGATATTTGTGCAGTTTGTGTTCTGTGGCTTTAGGCCCATCTACTTTTGTCACGCAATAAACATTGTCCCAGTAATAATTGCAAGAAATTATATAATTGTCAGTGTTTTATGGCACTAATGTAATGATTATATAATTACCCATTCAAGAGCAATTCACTTTTTATTATTATTATCATTTATTTATACACTGGAATTGGAATGTGACAGAAAATATTCTAAATAAATAAACAAAGTGCATTGTAACAACTTACTTGCTATAAATGATATACAACAATATCACTGCTTTTATAATTTGGCTTAAACTGAAGATGTTCCAACATTGTAGTTGTGGACAATAAATCATTATTGTGTCGGGTCCAGTTGTAGACTTAAACAGCATACATGATCTGTTTGATGTGCTTTTCTATTATTTTGCATGATACTGGTACCCATAACAGCTCATTCTCTCCTGTGTAGATGACCAAAGTTAGATTATCCCCCCCCAGGCTACAGAGGGACTATCCACTTCCGTTGGAATCCAGGGGAACAGGTACATTTGTCATATGACCCACCATTTTAAGTAAATGTAGGAGAAGTCAATACAGGCGAACCACTAATTAAATTGCATGAATCAGCTTATGGAGTGTTTTGTTTGGAAACCTATTTGAATAAGAAAAACAGTACTTCATTATCGTGTTGTGTACATGTATTTCCTCTGTAACTTCATAATTATTCTGTTTCTAAGGTTCTACTGGATTGGACCCCGTTCCACCTTCATCTGATGTGCCAAGAATCAGGAAGTTGAGAATGATAATGGACACGTAAGAACTAAGGATACTGATGCACGATTGTTTAAATATGCTACACGTAGAGTATTTACATCACACTCACTGGCAACAGCAGCAACAAGAAATCACATGGTTATATATTTTTCAATTTGTTTTATATTGTCATCTGCCATAGTTTGGCTAAAATAGTGCACAAATGTCAACCAACGTCAAAATATGGCAGTGCAGCGTCAGCTTTTGCTGTATTAGGAGTAACATAAGAGGAGGAAATGCACACAACTTCATTCCTACACTGATAGGCTAGTTGTTTGTGGCTGTCATCAGCTAAAGTTAGGGCTGGGCAATATATAAAAATATACACAACTACATATATACACGACTTTCTCTAGGTATGATGTTTTAAATGAATAGCGCAAACATCTAGTACAAATTGTCTTTTTCCCATGGCTGTCTCTCCCTCTCAGAGGCCCAATCCCAAACCGCCCCCTACACCCTACCCCTACACACTACCCCTCCGTTTGCGAGTTCACGCGGAGGGTCCGCCACATTAAGTGCTGTTCCAAACCAACAAGTGTGGAGCGGTGTGGAGGGGGAGTGGGCTATCAAGCCCTCAAACAGCGAGTCTGCAGCGGTGCTGACTGGAGACCGGTCTCTACCTGACCGGTTTCAACGCTGTGTGTGTCCGTCAGGAAACACGCTGTTTACAAGTAGTTCCAGCAAACATCCACTGATAAATTGCGACGTTAACAACCTCATGATAACCTCATATTTGTTTAACTTAGGATCATATACCTGTGTTTAGTCTAGAAAAAGGTAAATGTGTGCATTTTATTATAAAGTTGTGTATATTTACAGATTGTTGCAAAAACTAAGAAGCTTATAAAAATCAGGTTTAAAACTAAAAGAGCTTTACAAAAAAGCAACACAATTAAAGATGTTTGGAGTTTTATTTTAGTTCTTAATTTAAATTTTTGGTCTAAGAGATGCTGATTTGAAACCGTTGTTACATAAAGTTACGGCATTTCCTGTTTCTGCCGGAGAGAGGGGAGTTTGTCCCAAAGCTTGCCGCTGTATTTACTCCCTCCATCTGACAGGAGGGAGCCTCATGTGTCACTCCACGGAGTTCACTCCGTCACGGAGGGGGAGTGTGTAGGGGTAGGGTGTAGGGCGTGGTTTGGGATTGGGCCATAGACACACAAAAAACACTCATCATAGCCTAAAAGTATGATGGTATTTTTTAGGTCATTTATCCAAGCCCTAGCTAAAAATTCAATGTAATTGCCCAAAAAGCTCCTTGAATAGCTAAGTGTATTGTATCTAAAAATGTGTCACATTTGTTATAGGGTATAAACACTGGGTAAATGACCAAGTTGACAGAATATTACCATTGTGCACACTTTTAATTCCAATTGCTTTAAAACTTTGTGACTTTTTGCTTTGGTACTTTGAATGTTAGCCACTGTAGTTGCAAAGCTTTATCCTAAACTGCCACTGAGCATGACTTATTATGATGCGAGAGCTGCGTTGAACTGATTTACGACTGACAGTTCTGTAGGGACAATCTCTTTGATTGTTTTGGAAACAGCTTTAAAACCTGATATGGAGGTTTTAACATGTGACTTAAATGTTAGAATGTTTTGGTTGTTAGTCTGGTATACATGGTTGTCACTTTAAGCTTGTATAAGATTATATACATGTTTATTTTGTGCTGTTAAAGGTCTGTTTTTTAGCAATACTAAATGCCATTATATTGTTCTTTTAGTATCCCCTGTGACATCTCCTGTGACCTTTGTGACGTTGAGTTTATCAATGGCTTGGAGCTGGAGGATCACTTGGAGAGCAAGAGTCATTGGGACATCCTGGAGTACATCCAGCAGCACAATAACTATGAGGATGTGACTATAGCCTTCATACAGGTAAATAATACATAGTATGGCTAAATACATCCTATTGCCTCTACCAAATGTTGGTGCATATCATTATTTTGTCTTCTTGGTGATGGAAGGTTTTTTTATGTCTGTAGGAAGTCATGCTGCATAAAAGCCATCAGTGCACCCGAACCATAGAGAGTAGTGCACTGCAAGGTAAATCTCTTCCAAACAACTTCGAACGACACACGATCTCTTATCAAAGTATTTTCTATTCCAGACAATTCAAGTCTAAATACAATCCGTTCTTTGTTTTGTCAGCTCTGCAGGAAAACGACCACATGACAAAGATTGAAATGTTCCACTGTGCAGCTTGCAGCGTCTTCCTATCCACAGCTGCTTCCTCAGTGCACGCTCACATCACCTCTCAGGAGCACCTCGTCAACACCAAGGTAGCACTGCTGTACGGTAGCACTGCTGTACGGTAGCACTGCTGTACGGTAGCACTGCTGTACAGTAGCACTGCTGTACAGTAGCACTGCTGTGTAGCACTGCTGTACGGTAGCACTGCTGTACGGTAGCACTGCTGTACAGTAGCACTGCACATCTCTTATAATTTTCTAATCATAAATCTATCGATTAGATTTATGATTAGAAAATTATAAAAGTAGGGTAGACATGTGGAGATTATCCGGCTGAACAAAACGTGATCCGTCTCTTAAATGTGTGTCAACCGCAGACCTTATTTCGAGCTATTTTCCAAAATCCTATGGAGAAATTGCAATGCATTTTTGTCGAAGGAACCGGAAGAAGTTTACTTCCAGGTTTTAGGACGCGTCACTGCAGTTCTCTATAGGCAGTGTATTTTAGGCATCATCAGGAAAGAATTTAAACTTTGGAGAATATTTATTCTGGCATACCATGGGACATGATACAACTAGGACTACACTATGCTCGAAAGTTATTATGGGCTTTTTAGCCAATGATGCTAACGATAAACTGCCTACCCCAGCTTTGACAATTAGTTTTGTCTTAAATCTCTTTTTCTTTAGTCAAGTTTAAGTGATGATTATAATTCTGATCGGATTTCTTTTTTTACTGAAGGATTTTCAGGTGGAGCGGGGACTTTCCTGCCTTGACAAAGCAGAATCCATTATGAAGAAGCTGAAACATCAGTTTGAACACTTCCTGGAGGTATTTTGCAAGAAACAACATTTCAAAACTATTCAAACTCAGCCAATGGCATCATGGAGAAATGTGTGAAACAATCTTAGCTAGCTATCATGCTAACAATATCGCTATGTTTAACATCATTTGAGATTTTCAATGTGGTATTATGTTGGCACAAGCAATATATTCATATTGACCAAGTCAGTAATCTGCTATTGAGTCCAAAAGAAACCGGTTATCAACTGGCTCTGTTTACTAATGCAAATAACAAGCTATTCTAAAGAGAGGTTTACAGCCTGTGGTCAGTCAGATGCTATATTACCTGATCAGATGATCTATTTTATACCAGCCATGTAAAAGATGCATTGCAACAAAAGAACACTTTTCGTTGTAAAATGATACCATAATAACTTGGTTCTGAAAAAAATGTAAGTTATTATGTAGCTGATCCTTGTGTGGGTAAAGGTACATCTGAGGCCTGGACTGTACGGATTTTCGCTTAGCCGGCTAACTTCAGGGAAAACTCTGGGTTTCCGGTCCTACGACGCTGGTTCTCTTTTTAGCGGGCTAGATCGCCATGGTAACTTATGCTAAACGGCTAGCCTGGTCCGGAGCAGGTTAGGTTCCAGGATAAGAGATCAACTCAGTGAAAGCACCGCCTGCTGACCAATCAGAGCTCAGTGTGCGGAGTTTAAAGCGATCAAGTCATATTACAGGATAAAGGAAATACAGTTTAGACTGCCGTTGCAGGAAAGACGGCCGGCAAATATCAACTGACTGTGAACGTGAAAATTAATAGAATATCCCCTCCTATCTTCAGAGCAATCTGACTATTATAACATTAGCGTTAAGAAAGCTTACTTAAATATCTGCCACAACATAAGTAACCGGATCAGAGTAACATTAAGTACAGTCCGCGGCACTGTGAGTGCAGACGTTGATGTGTCCCATTATCATTCATATCACATCATAATGTATCATATATTTCCTTATCTGGTTAATGTACGCATTCAAACACTTTTTCTTTTACCAGCTGTATTCATCTTGCAGGTGCAACTATGTGGCTTTTATCCTGGATAAAGTGTTTAAAGGTGGGGTAGGTAATTTTGGAGAAACCAGCTTGAGTGCGCTAGAATTTGAAAATACACAGCTGGAACAAATCTGCCACTTCCTTACAGAGCCCCTCCTCCAACACACACGAACGCGCACATGACCAATGAGGGCACGAGATAAGTTTGTGCACAGATGGAAGGCTGACAGGCAGGTAGGCCATCCAGTTATTTTAGCCGGGCCGGCTAAAATGATTGGTCGTGCTTTTTACAGTATTACGGCTTCCACAGATGACATTTTTTTATGGATTTTTTGTCAAAGCACTTAAGATATTCATTGCTATCGGGATGTTAAGAGCATTCCATGGAATATAACAAAAAGTGTATCTCGAGCCGGTTTCTCAAACTTACCTACCCTACCTTTAAGTCATGGATGTTTGAAGTTTAACGTCTTCATATTTGTCTAATTATAGTTGACTTTTCATTCACAAAGTATGACGCGCTGCGCTGTGCTGTGCTGTCAGTACGCTTGTCCATGTTTGTGATTGGTCGAATGCTCCAAATACCACCCCTTTCATGTGAATGCGCACCTAACCAGATAGGGCAAAGCTGGCTTGAGTTAACGAGTTGATAACCAGCGTCGTAGGACAGTTTAGCAAGAGCGCGTTTGTTTTGGATTAGGTAAGCCGGGTAACTCAAACATATCCAGGTTAGGTTGAACCGGCTTCGTAGTACAGGCCTCAGGTGTTAGAGCTATTGTTTCTTTAAATATACAACCTACTGTAGAAAGTAAAAATAGTAGCACATTACAACAGGTTAAAAAAACACTGTGCATGTAAGATAAGGTGAGATTGCGCTTCTTTTTTTATTTATGTCGATATGGCATTAAAATATATAAGGGACAGTAAACCAAATCTTTCGTGTTATAGTGTGTTATAATGTAAGATGTGTAAAACATGTTTTACACATCTTACATTATAACACCAATAAATAGTACCAACTAAGGCTACTAATAAAGCTGCTGATACCAATATCTTAAATGGGATTTTTTAAGTATCCTTTGCTCCTCCTTACTGGTGCAAGAAGTACATACATATTTTTGTTATCTAAAAGTAGCAATACAAAATTGTAAAAAGTACCAGTAAAAGTCTTGAATTCAAAATCTAACAAGTACCAAAAGTAAAAGTACTTGTTACGCTTAATGCCCCATTTCCGGATCACACATTTTTTTTTATGAAATTGTGTCGACAACAGCTCGTAAAGTTGCCATTTTTTTTTCCCAGGGTGGCAGCCCATTTGAATGATGCGAACCAATGGAAGTCTCCAAAAGACAGCTGATGAAGAACCCTGGAGTTAAACCACCATCACCACCCGTAAATGAAGCATTTGAGTGGTATATTGCAGTCATTCAGGATTTGTCTGAATAAAGAGTCTCATCTTGTATCAAGGTTTGTTCACACCATATGGATTTGCTTGTCCCTTTGTCACACATTGTCTGTCACATTTGGTTATTGTTATCTACATCTAATGTGCATCACCATTTGAGCCTTTCAAGAGGACAAAGTGTGTAGTATTATTCATTTACAGATTTAATGTTTCTTTATATTTTATGTGAAGAAAAATAAATATTGAAAAAGACAACTTGTTTCTTGTTTTCTTTTATTTAGAACAACACAAATGTTTTAAGCATTGTATCTGAGTGATATAGTACATTTAAAATTAAATTATTTTCAAAACAGTATATTCAAACATTAAATATAGGTGACATGTATGAAGGGCGTCGTCAGCACCGGCTGTGCTTGAAGTCTTTTTTTTTCTTAACCACCTTCAGTTTTAATTTTGTATTTGTAATAAAAACAATGCAGTTAACTGAAATACTATTTTTTTTAAAACCACTTTCTATGCATTACAAGTTTGTAGACATTTTCTTTTTGTTCTTGTAGAGTAGCTCATCTTTCCACTCGGGATTCGTGGAAATGTGAGCTTTCAGATGCCGTCATTTTCAGTGGGAATATTCATCTCACTCACTCTGTGGCCTGGAAACAGAGACTGTGGGCTTGGACATGTTGCAATACAACAAACATGATTTTAAGCATCTTTTAAAGAGTGACATTGATACAGAAGAGAGGTGCTCCCAAATTTGGACAAAAACGGAAACCATGAAAAATCTGAGGTAAAGGTTGTCTTGGATTCCACACTACATTACTGCATAAAACAAAATAGTGTGTCCGTTTGGAAGTGTATTTCCAAAAAATGAACCATGTAAAAACAACAAAAGGTAACAATATCCAAATAATAAAAAAAAAATCTTCTGTCCAAACATGTACAATATCTCTCCATCATTGACCAATGATTTACTTTTAGCCAGTATTTCGACTAAAAGAGAAAAGAAAAGTGAAAACATCCAATGTACATACACATAGTCTAGTGAAATCTAAAAAGGTCCCCGTTGGCTTCATGAGGCGGCGTGTGTGGCTGTCAGAGAGCTGTCTTGGTCAGTCTTGAAAGTTGAGGGGTCCCTGGGCAGCGAGGTGACCTCCACCATGCCCAGCCCAGTGTGAGGGACACTAGTGTTCATAATGTGTCTCTGTAAGTGTTTAATCCAGTCCTCCTGCACCGACAAGGGACCCTGGAAGACGAGGTCACAGAACCTGCATAGATCAAACATTGATAAAAAGATCATTAGATATTACACAGCTTAGATGAACACTGAATTCTGATTGGTCCTTCTGGAAATTCTGCGGTCAAATCTTTCTCGATAGTAGACCGCTGATAAGGATCGCAGAATGTTGCTAGGAATAGCAGACTGCTCTGTTCAAGGGACCATGTGCCACAGAAAGATGTCCAGACAATTTTACGCCGGTAAACACATTAGTTTCCTGTTTTTGAATATTTCTTTTTATATTTGTTTTTTATCCATATTGGCTAAACTGTCACCAGTCCAAAAAGAAGAAAAAAGGAACAATAAAAATGGGACTTTGATAGTTACAGAAAACCTCGACCAGTACTGCCGTTATTTCAAGTTGCATTGCTGTCACCACAGTTCCAGCCGTTGCTTCACAGAAGAATTACTATTTTTTCTTAGCTGAAGCAATACAATAATCTAATACGATTACACACACATACATTCTTCACAATAATTGTTTTAGAACTCAAGGTCTCCCATTATACTATTTTTAGGCATATATTATGAGTCTCAGATATATAAAAATATATAAAAAACATGTCTATGATGTGTTTTGCTCAAAATACCAAACAGATCATGCATTTTAGACATCCCTCATATCCCTCTGTTTCAGCCCTGTTAGAGAACTGCTGATTCGAGGAGGGAGAGCTAATGCCTGCTCAGAATTCTACAGAGATACAGCTAAATGCTCCCGTGATTAAACACCATCATGTTCCAAACCACATCAAGGATTATTTCTGAAACGGTATGGAGCTCAAATGCTTTTGTTCTTGCGGGTTTACCACAAGGTGAGTTCATTTTTTTATTTCCTGCTTTTTTACACATACTGGCCGTTTCTCAATGTCCAGTATAGCTGCTGCAGAGCCACTATTTCAAGTATACTACGTCATCGAGTGGCGCCGAATGCTGGGCATTTAACATGCATTCAAACAGTCCTTCTGCGCCACTCTATGACGTAGTATACTTGAAATAGTGGCTCTGCAGCAGGCTTACTCCACATTGAGAAATGGCCACAGTCTCCAGTACAGGTTAGCTCTGAGTGTTAGCGATGCTTGCTAATGTAAACAAAGACCATATTACGTCACACAAATGTATGTATAAAAGACATCAAAAAGTGCATTTTGCATGATAGGTCCCCTTTAAAGAAAATGGCTGGCAACAGAAGCAAACAGACCACAAACATATTTTGACAGCGCAACCCACTGTTGGATTGCAAACATGACGATGTACGCTATTAAAACATAATATCCAATATTATAAACTATATACAAAAATTACCTGCAGGTGAGTCTGTACATTTCCTCTGGAGTTTGTGGTAAGGGCAGTAGCTTCTTCTTTGAGCCAGGCCTTGAGCGGTACCTCCTTGCTTTACAGTCAAATGCTGGGAGACAGAACAAACTTTATTAATTATCAGCACTAGCCTTGCAAATTCAACACCCAGATTGGATGTGTGGACATCATTAGCTCTATCTTTATTCATCATTAATATTCTGGCTCTGTGTCTCAACAGTATTGGCCAATCCAGTGTCGCTAGGACCAAAAGCCTAACATATAAGTGTAATTATCTGTGCCTGCAGGAAAAGTAGGCCCTGAAGGCTTTCTGCCTCAAAAAGGTTGTTCCTCCAATGCAGACCTGGGCATCGTACGGCCCCCGGGCCACATACGGCCCTTTGGTTGACTCTGACCGGCCCGTGTAAGGCTAATTGGAAATTACAAAATAAACATATTTTCTAACTTTACCTCATGCATGGACTAAAGCTGCATTGCTTTTATTTTGAAGTTGTTTTTTATTCACGTGCATAATGACGCAATACGTATATCAAGACGTGCACATTATTGGATCCTTGTCACAAGACGACTTTAGCCCTCAAAAAAATGTCCGCTAAAAAAAGAAAGGTAGATGCTGAATGCAGGGTTTTCAAACAAAAATTGGACTGCTAAGTATTTATTTACTGAAGTCGGAGGTAAAACCGTGTGTTTAGTTTGCGGGGAGCAGATCGCCGTGTTTAAGGAGTACAATGTGAGTCGACATTACGAGACGAAACACGCGGAGAAATATAAAAACTTGACTGACGCTGAAAGGGCGCGGACATCGGAAGCTTTGCTAGCTAAGCTGCAAAAGCAGCAAGGCTTTTTTACCAAGCTTCACACATCCAGTGATGCAGCAACCATGACCAGCTTTGTGATATCCCACAAAATTGCTAAAAACAGTAAGCCGTTCTCGGAGGGGGAGTTTGTCAAAGAGTGCTTGGTGGACTCTGCAGCACTAATATGCCCTGAAAAAAAAGCCGCATTTGAGCAAGTCCCGCTGTCCAGGCGAACCGTGACTAGAAGGATCGAGGACATTGCGGGGAATCTGGAGCTTCAGCTGCAACGTGAAGTGGCAAGTTACGACTTTTTCTCCTTGGCTTTGGACGAGAGCTGTGATGTCCGCGACACAGCCCAGTTACTCGTATTCGTCCGCGGGATAACACCGGACTTCAAGATTACGGAGGAGCTGGCAGCAATGCGGTCGATGAAAGGGACGACGACAGGGAGCGATCTGTTCACGGAGGTAAACGAGTGCATGGACACGCATACATATGTGAACAAACATTTTCAATTATGAAGTTTACGAAATCCAGGTATAGATCCTCTCTCACTGATGATCATCTGTCAGCTGTGCTTCGCATCTCCACCTCAGACATTCAACCTGACTTTGATGCACTCGTTAAAGCCCAGCAGAGACTAGATTTCTCTCACTGAACAAGAAAAGAGAACTTAAAAACACCAAATGAGGTGGTTAGACTACAAATGTTGGCATGTAAAGGCACCAACTAGCAGTGAACTGGGACACTTTCTTTGGAAGCCTTTTTCTCAAAATCACAGTTCAGTGATGTTTAGTGACAGTTCAATATGATGTATCTTGCTTAATATTTGGAGTACAAAGACAATATTGTGATGTCTTTAGAATGCTAAGAACTTCTTTCCAACAGTAAATGAAACTCAAAATGTGTTTGAGTGAATGTGACTGAAAATGTTCACTAATATGAGTCACAAATGGTGAAAAACGTTCATTTTGTTTACCATTGTTTTGGGAAATTTGATTTAATAAATGACATTTTTTTGTAAGGCAACCTCACTTTTTCATTGCTTAACTATAACATATACTCTTACCAGCTTGTCAAAACAATGCTATTTACTGCTTTTTATAAAGAAATACAATTAATATTATGCAGAATTGAGTTCAGCCTTTTGGCCCGGCCCTCCACAATATTTTCAGTTTCTCATGTGGCCCCATGGAAAAAATAATTGCCCACCCCTGCTCCAATGGATGCACCCATGAAGCTCCACAATTAAAATCGTTGCAATATTTTACTTGCTGATGCCATTCTGGATCTTTATCTTGGAGAGGACACACATAACCACCGGTACACTCATTACAACTATGATGTGGTCCTCACAATCTCTTGTGGTATCCGGCACTACAGACAGTTTTGGCTTCATCTGCTGAGAGTTTGAGTTATCTGTCTGAGATGTCAACTGACATAACAATACAGTGAAGGTGAATAGCTTTCATTTGTCAGGTTACATTGAACACATTTCTGCCAGTGGATCCTTGCTCTTTCACTGATTGACATTTGGTGTTACAGTAAAAAGAAGACTGCTAGCTAGACAATATGGTTAGAAACACTGAATGTTTTGACATTTTAGAAAATAGTTTTAAGAGGAAGGATTAGGTTTAAATGATAGAAATGATGTGCTTTGCTGAGAAAAAGTTAATGTTAGCATAACTGTTTGTTTAAGTAAAATCTCAACAAGTTATCATTAAAAAAGTTGATCTAATGTAGCATTCTACGATCTCAAATAACTTGTGCTCTAAAAATGGCTGTTCATTATGTCTTCAACTTAATCTGTTGCTGATGGCACTTACCGGTTCCGTCAAGTACGGCATTCCTTTTTCGTTTTGCATATG